TAATAATTATTATAATTTTTTTTAAAAGATAAAATAATACTATAAATTTAATTTATTTTAATTAGATAATTTTTTTTTACTTTTCTAATATTTTATTTCTATAGATTTAATTTATTAAATTTTAATTAATTATTTATATTTTTAATATTTAAATATTTTATTAATTTTTTTTCATAAAAATATTTAAAATATTAATAATTATTATAATATTTATAATATATTTATATTATTATTATTGATATATTAATATTATTAATATAAATTATTAAAAAATATCAAATATAGATTAATATAAATATATATATATATATATATATATATATATATATATATATTATTATTTTTTATAATAATATATAAATAGGCAAAATCATATATTAATCATTTATATCACATTTTATTAAAATAATAAATAAATTAATTGTAATTTTATATATAGCTATTCTTTATGATAATATGAAAAATAATATTAAATATGGAATGTATATCACAAACTATTAGTAAATTATGTATGTTTTAATAAAATAAAGATTAATATTTTCATAATTATATTAAGTTATATAAAATTATTTATATTAATTATAGATAATTAATGTTTAATAAAAAAGAAAGACAATTGGAGATAAATAAATAATAATAATATAATATATTTCAATTTATTATATATTTTATATAGATAGATTTGTAAAATTAAAATATAAATAATTTAAATATATTTATGATAAATATATATAAAAAAAAAAATATATTAAACGAAAAAAATATTGATTATTTTTAAAAAAAATTGTGTATATATAATATATATAATATATAAATATATATACATTTATATTTATATTTTTTTAATTAATTTATATTTTTAATATTACAATTATTTACAAAAAATCCTTTTATTATTGTTAAAATTATAAATTTAATTTAAATTATATATGAGTTTTTTTGTTTTAAAAAATAATATTATTTAATTTTTTTATTAAAAAAAAAAAATTAATAATTTTCTATTTTTATTATTTAAATAAATCTTTTTCAAATATATATGTATACTGTTTAAAAATTATTTTAGAAAAATGAATTTCTTCTTATATTCACAATTAATAATTTTTAAACATCTAACAAAGAAATAATTTTAATTTTTAGAGGTTTTTTAATCTTCTAAATTTTATATTCGTCATAAATTTCTTATAGTAATTAATTATATTTTTATTCCATTATATCTAATGGATCTACGAATCCTTCTTTATCTCTATTTTAAGCCACATATTCATTTTAACATCCAAAAGTTTTGAAATACTTTACTATATCATCTACACTATATTCCGAATATACATACTCTTGTTTCTTCACTACATCAGCGAATTTTTCCTCAAAGCTATATCCTGAATATCCAGCAGGTAATTAAGCTAAATCACAAAAAGGCATAAATACAGTTTCATTCCATTCTTAAAAAATCTCATGAGATTTATCTTTGATTTTTTCGCTTATCTATATTTCTTTATCAAAATTAAGTTCTATTGTTTCCGCAGCATACCCAAATACACCCAAACACCCATTTTTCTTCAAAATCTTCTAACCTACTAGTTTTAAAAATGCAGGTACATCAAACCAATGTAATGCTTCCCCAATAGTAACTAAATCATATTAAATAGGGAAGTTTCTTTATTACAAAGCTTAATCTAAAGAATGGCCATCCGATCTAAAGAATTTAATTCTGTCTTCGCAGTTTAATTATTATATTTTTTGCTAAACTACTCCTAGCTATTTTTCAGATAAATCAGTGGCAACAGCTTATTAGAAATGGCTGTAAAAATTAAAAAGCAATTGTCCAGTACCACATGCTATATCGAGGTAGTTTTAGTGTCCAGGAACATATTTTAATGCTAATTCTAAGTGTTCTTTAGGATATTTAGGACGGAAAAGATCGTATTTTTGGCCTTAAGTTGTGTCATTACCAAAGAAGTCCTTTTGTTAGGCTGGCATTAATTTTTAAGAAGTTGTCATTTTTTTGTTTTATTATAATCTTTTTTTTTTATTTATAATTAATTATTATTTAGTATTAATTTTTTTTTTGAATTTTATATTGACAATTTTTATAAAAAATTGTTTTTTTCTTTTTTTTAAACAATTTTTTATTATGATTTTTTCCTCTTTAATTTATTATTTTTTATATTTAACTTTCTTTTTTAACACAATCAAATAAATTTAACAATTTTTATATACTTAATTATTTTAAAAATCAAATTAAATATTAAAATTTATTAAATAAATCAAATATAAGAATTTTTAAGTTATATATAAAGAATTTTTGAAAAAATAAGACTTTTTATAAAAAAAAATAAATATTTTTGTATTATCTATTACATTTACGTTATTTTAAGATTAAAGAAAAAATATATATATTTTATATTTTAAAATATTATTATTTATGATTTACATAATAATAATATCATATGTAATAAATAATATTTATATAAATGTTCTAGTTATATTATTTTTTAAATTTAATTATAATATTAAATAATTTTATGATTTTTAAACAAATAAAATATTATAAAAAATAATTCTTATTAAAAATAAAATATTTTTATTTTTAATTTATTTATTATATTTGATTTTTAGAATAATATATTCATTATAATTTTTTTTTATTATATATAATATTGTATAAATATATATATATATAAATATTCGTTTTTTATATATAATTTCATTTCGTATTAATTATTTTTAGCTAAGTTTTATTATATCTTTTTATTAAATTCGATATTTAATTATTTATTATTTATTATTATAATTTTTTATTTATCAATAATTTATATATATAATGTTATTAAATACTACAGATTATTAGAGTTTTTTAAAAGATCTTATATTGAAAAAGTAGAAAGCATTTAGTATTTAAATAAGAAAAAAATAAATAAATTTTTGTCTAAAAAAATAAAGAATCCGCCATGAAAGCAAATAAAATACTATAAAAATTATAGAATAAAACTTAGACATCGATAATAATAAAGATTAAAACTTAAATAAATGCTTTTAAAAATAATAGTTTTTATAATTTTTAAACAAAATTCTAGACTATTAAATTTTTTCTTAAGAAGAAATCGACTATTTTTTCAATTATTAAATTACATATGAAATTGAATAAAATAATCAATTAGATTAATAAATAATTTAGAATCTAATTAAAGTTAATAAAATATTAAAATATGACTAATAAAGCAATCAATAAATAGTTTTCTTATCATTATAATTGATACATAGAAATTTAGATAAAATCATTATTATAATTGATTTTGTAAAATAAATATTAATTATATTTATTCAAAAAAATATATAAATAATATAAAAAAATTAGAAGGATTTATTAGAAATATTTTCATAAGACTTAAATAATATAAGTTCTCAACTATTATGTATTGAATGTATTACAAAAATATTCTCTTAAATAAATGACAATTAAAAATAATAACTTCTTTCTGATTTTTAAGAAAGCAATCCAATATTATAAACAATATAAATTATTAATTAATAATTTAAATAAGCCCAAAATTTGAATTAATTCGAGTATTTTTTTTAACTTTTAACGTAAATATTTGATTTATATGAATTAGTATTTGACTATGTAATTGAATATAACACAGCATTATAATAAGCTTAAAATATATATAAACTTATATTTGATAATTCAATCCAATTTATATTTATGCACAAATAAATTCCAAAATAAATAATTTAGAACATACTAAAAATAACATATATTTATATAAAATACACATAAAATAAAATATATGCATTTACTAGAATATTAAATACAAATTTTATAAATTATATTTACGAAATTTTACAAGATTATGAAATAATATTATACTAAATCGAAGATTATACATTAGTCAAATATATTTTATTAATAATTTAATATTTTTCAAGTTTAGATTGTAAAAGTATTTCAGGTAGTGTTTTTTTAATTGAAAGAATTAATTTATTAATAAGCTTTTTATTAAAAGAAAAAAATAATATAAATCAAATTGTTATGTGTATTTTTTCTAATTTTAGCATTGATTTTTAAAAGTTTAATCATTTTATTTTCAAAAGCTAGCCTTTTTGGAATAATTTACATTTAATTACAAAAAATACTCAATCTTAAGGATTAATACAAGAAATATCTTTGACTCTTAGTGTTATTTTTTAAAATTATTATTAGTTTTGTGATTTTAATATATTCTTATAGAATAATGGCTTATAAATATTTTCATTTATTATTAAATAATATGAAGATTTATTTAGTGTTAGTAATTGCTTGAAAGCATTAAATTATTGTCTTATTTAATTAATATAGAATGGATTATATAATTAAATGAAAGTTTTTAAAGTTTAATGTTAAAAGTACAATATTTTATAGTATGTAGATTATTTACAATAAAATGAATTTTAATATAAAGAATATGAAATGTAAGACACAGTATAGTACTTTTATGATTTATTTTACTATGATATACAAGGGAATTATTAAGACCCTCATGATATTAAAAATTATTGAAAAAAAGAAAAAATATAATATTTATACATATATATTTTAATTTAAATAAAAAGAAAATTATTTTTATACTCAAATAATAATAATATTTTTATTTATATATAATTTAAAAAAAATATAGATAAAATATATATAATCATTTCATATAAAGTTTCTTATAATATTAAGATAAAAATAATATATATATATGCATTATTATAATCATATAAATTTATATATTTTTATGTGAAATTTCTTCTTTTAAAAGGAAAAACGTTATAATAAACAATTATAAAATATAATAAAAAAAATTAATAAAAAAAAAAAAACAAAACAAAGCAAAAAATGAGTTGTTAAGTCTGCTTGTTAGAAATAAAAAAAGAGACCTTAAAATCGCGTTAAGATAACCCAGACTTCGACCTAGAATACGAATGTATAAAAGAAATATGTTCCGAATGTATAAAAAATTGGATTATAAGTTAAATAAATGCTTTATGTTTTCAAATGGACTTAAATATTTTTAAATGTATAAATGAGAATTGTTGTATAAGAAATCACTCTTTATCTACTTTTATATAATCCTATATAGAAAAAGACTATTAAGACTAAATAGAACTACAATTAACTAAAAAATATTTACAAAAGTAATATGATACTACCATGTGTCCTAAATGTGATACATATTACACTACTGAACTCATCTATTGTTCTAATAACTATAATTGTAATAATTGCTTTTATACCTGGTAGGATAAATCACAAAAAGAAACAAACATTTTTTCCATATTATTTTTCTATGATATCCTTTCTTATCTCTTTGAAATAATATTAACTAAATTTTGTCCCTAATGTAGTATATCTATATAAAAAATAGGCGGATGTTAGCATATGACATGTAAGAAATGCAAATTCGAGTTTTGTTGGGTTTGCAAACAAAATTATAATTTTCATTCCGAAATTCGATGTTTTGCTTATGTGTTGTGCACAAAAGGGATCATTGTATATATTGGCTATAATGTCCTGATAATATTTAATTAAGAAAATATACTATATAATTCACTATATTGGATTTTATCTTGTTTTTTTAAGTTTATTTACTATAATTTGTTTATTGTCATTTCTTGGTTTATTATTGGAAGTTTTTAAGAATACATAAAGATGTTTTTACCTTCTAGAAAAAAGCTAGGCTATGTTTATAAAAAAGAAATAAAAAATAAATCACTTTGCATTTGCCTATATATGATTTTGTCTTTAATTGTTTTTATTATTATTACTATTAATATTGAGTAGTCTTTAAATAATTTGTTTGTTTTTTGTATAGGAGAATTTCTTTTTTTAATTATAGGATTTATTATTTATAAATCTTACTCTTTTGTATATTAAACATGGTTGTAAAATGTTATATGAATTTTTTATTTAAAAAATATATATATAAAAAGAATTAAAGACATAAAAAAAGAGTATTAAATATAAATAAATACATATTTAATAAATATATATATATATATTTATATATAAAAATAGAATATTTATAATTATTTAATTCATTATATTTATAACAAAAATTTCTTATTTATTTTTTTATTTAAAAAAAAATATATATATATTTAGTTTAAGAGAAAATAATTATATTTTTTATATATATTTATATATATATTTACTTTTTTTTTTCAAAGATTTCATGTTTTTTTTTTTAATATATAATTAAAAATATACTCTTATCAATTTAAAATTTTGATTTATTTTTTTTTATTTTTAACATCTCCTTATTTATTATTTTAATAGCTATATTGTAGTTAACTTTAAGAAATAGAAATCGACTTCTAACCAATCTCCTTATCATTTTTATATTATTATTAACAATTTCCTTAAAAAGTACTTTCCATTAATTCCGGATTTTCTTAAACTCTTACAATATCTTATGCTTGATAATATTAATTAAAATTTTATTAAACTAAATTAACAGGTTAGCTTAAATTTCTTCTTTTCTTATATTCTTAATAATTCTTATATGAAACCCTTTCGACTGTCCTTATAGGTGGTAAATATTCTATATAATTTTCTTAAATATAATGTGGTATATATTCTGTTTGATATACAACAGCATAATAGTCTAATATTTTATGCTATTTTGGAATAACTTAAGTTACTTGAACTTGATCATATTCTATTACTTTTTTTTCTACAGGCAAATATTCAAATCTAGATGAACCTTTTAATACTTAATATTTATTATTGGAACCTTTATATTATAGATCTTGGGATTATAATTGACTTTAATAAGTTGAATGTGTTCTCCTTTTAGATTCTGGAATTTAGAATTGATATTTGTAATGAATTGGAGAATTTATAATTTTTTTAGTGGAATATTATCGATTATTAAGTAATAGTACTTTATTTTAAAAAGAATGGCTCATTTTTTTGTTTTTTATTTTGCTCTTTTTTGTGGTTAATTTTATTCTTAAAATAGTATATTTAAATAGAAATATTAAATATATTTTTTTTCAAATAGTATATAAATATATATAAGTAATTAATATATATATTATTAATAATTTATATATTATATATATTTATAATTCTTTTTTTTTCATTTATGATTTAGTAATTAAAATTTAAATATAATTTTTGAAAAAATATATTAAGCAAATAAAAATTATTGACATTATTCATATTTTCATAAATAATATAAAAAATAAGCTTATAATTAAAAGACCTATATTTAAAAATTGATTTAAGTTTTATTTTAATTTTTAATATCATTCTGATAAAAAATTTTAAATTAACAAATTATATATAATTGAATAAGTCTTTTTTTAAATTAAAATAAAAAATATTATTAATTAAATTAGAAAAAAATATTTATTTTTTATATTTATATATATATATATATATTTTTTTTTTTTTTTTTTATTTATATTTATATATATATATATATATAAATTATTTTTAATTTATCAATATAATAAAGTATTATAAAATAAAATCTATATAAAAATGAATTTTGTTGATATAGATTTATTAAGATATTAAAGAAATTATTCTGAATTAAAAAATGTTTTATAAAAAATACAAATAAATATAAATAATAAATAAGAAAAGTAAATAATCTATATTAAAAAAATAATATAAATCTATAAAAAATAGAGATTTCTTTGAATATTTGAAATTCGAAGTCTAATGTTTAAGCGAAATTCAAATAAAATAAATTTAAGAATAATAATTAGTTGATTATTTTTTAAAAATCGATTAATTTAGTTCTAATTTTAATGAAAACTCCATATTAAATATAGTTAAAATTAAATATAATAATAAATATAAACTGATTTTATTTTAAATATTTTTATTTTTATTTTTTATAAAAAGGATTGTTTATCATTAAAGTTTTTCCTATGCTAATTTATATTTAGTTTTTAAAATTAAGATGTTAAAAAAGCAATATAGAATCAACTAAATAATGTTTTTTCAATTAAAAACATTTAATTAGATAAAGAATTATTCGAATTATTATTAAAACAACCATTAAGAACTAAATACATAATAGAAATATATTTATAACAAATTTTAAAGCCTGATTTACAAATAAATTCAGATATATATATAAATTTGATTTCAGAATGGTTTAGTATATTTTAATTCTTTTATTAAAACCATAAAGAAAATTATTATTAGAAATTTCAAGTTAAAAATAAATATAAATATAAATATAAATATAAATATAAATATTTATATATATATAAATATATATATAATTTTAAATTTTATATATTTATAGGGATTCAATAAAATTGATAAAAACCTATGTTTAATAGCTATAAGCAAGCAAATTTAAATGTTAAATAAAATCTAAAAAATTACCAACTTTTAAATTATTTAATCAATTCTTTAAATTTTTACCTATTAATATTCCGAAAGTTTTGGTATAGACACAATAATAACTCTAATTTATAATTTAGCTAAAAATATAATTCCTTACCTAAATACATAAGTATTATAAGATTAATTCAACTAAATAATATCAAGTATAAATCCTTTCTTAAAATTCTTTCAAATTTAAATCGAAATAAAAACTTGGGACAACCTGCTTATAGTTTGTTTAGGTCTAATACAAATCTAAATAGATAAAAAAGTAAACAAATATATGAAAAAAGAAGGAGCTATTATAGAATAAAGTAATCTTTTTAAACATATTCCTTAAGAAATTTACGACTCTTTGTATTTATTTACATGTATAAATTACACATAAACGCGAAACAAAATCAAGAAAATATAACGAGCAATTCTTTCACATAAAGTATATTTTTTGAAAATAAAAATAAAAATAAAAAAACAAAATAAAATAAAATAAAATAAAATAAAATAAACTAAAAAAGTTACCTTCATTGATAAATATAATAAACCTTAAAATAAAAAGAGAAAACTTCTCATTTTAATATATACAATTTATGATGGGAACCCCTTTTGACGACAATATATTAGGCATGAAAATGTGCACATAACTATATATAAGGGAAGAATACGCAAAACTATATTAACTTATCCAAAGTTTAACTTAATCCGATTAATTAAAAACACATTCATAATTTCCTTTATTACTATCACTTTCGTCGGTTTTCACAGGACTTAATTTAGGTAAAAACGAAGAAGGACTGGCCTTGGCTAAATTAAATTTATTGAACTTCAAAGAACTTTCTAAAAAAAGCAAAAAACAACTAATTTTAAATGAGGAAACATTATTAGCTTAAGTAGGATTTAACTACTATAATCTATACCGAAATGCACAATATTAGTAAGATAGAATAGTTTATTTGGCAAAAGTATTGAATATTTGGAATATTCTCATTCCATGAATGGAAATAATTATGTCGTATGCTTCATTTTGGCTAAAATTTATGCTAATACAATGTAACTGGAAAAAGCACTTCAATATGCAATTTTATGCTGCAATTTAAATCAATATTCTCAATATCCATTTATTTTATTAGCGCTTATTTATTCAGCTAAAGGAGAACTTGAAAGATGCCAAAAAATTATTTCCGAATTAATTAATGATTAATAACCTTCTTCTATTTTATATATTATTATGGCTTTTATTGAAACAGAAAGAATTATTTGGAATTAAGAAAAAAATCCAGATATAATAGTAGCAAATCATTTCGGAAAAGGAATAAATGAAAATTTAAAAATAGTAAATTATATATATATATATATGTATATATAAAAATCTAGATATATTTTAATTTATATATCTATTTTATATATTATATATCTTATTTCATATATTTATCATTATTTTAGTAATATAAATAAAGTTAATAATTTTAATAAATTATCACTTATATGATAAAAGCATGCTTAGCAGTACTTAAATTACCTATAACAAATGAATATTATGAGAATTTCTTTTAGAATTAAAAATATTTGGTACATATTAAAGATTTACATTCTTAAGAGATACCTCCAAAAATATATTTAGATTATATAAATGTATATTTTTTTTAATTTATAAATATTATAATTTAATATAAAGGTTTTATAATATTTTATTGATATTTTATTCCATTTAGAATATTATGAAAACATAGATAAAATTATAGAATTGTTAAATGATGGAAATAAAAAAAATATTGTTGACTAAGAATATTATGTAAAAAATATATTTTTTTGTTAATTTTATAAAATATTATAGAAAGCTTTATTATTAGAAAAGCTTGGTAAAATTACAGAAGCGATATAATAATACGAACAAATTCTAAAAAATGACTTTTATCATTTAAGGACAATGGTAAATCTAGCACTTCTTTACTTAAAATCTTAAAATGGAAATGAAATATGTAAAAAAAGCTTAGATAGGGCAACTGAACTTTTAATAGCTTCTTCTAAATTTAAAGAATCTTCTGAAATCTTGTATATTTATATATTTTTTATGTTTATTTATTTTTAATAAGGTTTGGGTTTAGTTAAGTTCATGCAATATAAGGAAATTACGAAAAGTCTAATTAATATTTAATAAAAGCACTTGAAAATAATAAAAAATAACCTATTATTTCTTATGATATATTACCTGATATATTGTTTTATCTCTGAAAATTATATTTATTTAATTAATATTAAAAAAAATTTTGTTTTTGTTTTTTTTTATATAAAAAATTAGCATTAATTTTATTTATTTTTTCCCACTTTTCTAAAATTAAAAATAAAAATACATTAAATTTTATATTCAAAATATAATATATATAAAAAATTAATTTCATAAAAAAAAATTAAATCATTAATAATGAACAATTTTTCCATCTTCATAAAAGATAATTAATTAGTCATCTAATATAAAAGAATTAACTATTTTTTTTTTTTCCTGATTAATATTAAACTTCATACATTAAAATAATTTATTATCTTCAAAATAACAGCATCCAATCTAAGTATTTTTCTAATAAATATATGGTAATGCAAACTATAATTTATTATTTTAGAAATTAGTATACTAAAGTACTTTTTTCTTTAATAAATACTTCAAATCGTTCTCATTAAAGTCTAAATTTCCATGTATTTAGTAATAAAAATGTATATACTAAGAAATATTTTCAAACCAAATTTTATTTTTAATAATTTGATTCGCAATATGAATTTTTAAAATATTTTAATCATTAACCCAATTATATATAACAAATTATTAGGTGTAATATTCTAAATAGCAAATATAGACTTTTTTACCTAATATAATTCTATTAATTCGATCTTCAAAGTATTTTTTTTCAATTGATTTTAATAATTTTTTTTACTTTAAATTCCATATATTTATAAAGTGCATTTAATTCAAAAACTGTTCTTTTTTTTCGCAGACACATAGTAAATTTTATTATAATTAAAAGCATTATTTTATTGAGTTTTTGCTAAATATACAATATAAAGTCTTTAAGATTTATTTTTTTGAAGAATTATATTGAATTTCTTAAACTTTTATTCGATTACAATTTGTAATTTACACCAATTGATTTTAGTTTAACTTAAAAATAAATAATTTCATATTCCTTTAATTATAAAAATTATTAATCACAAAAGGAGAATCACTGTTATAACTACTATTATCATGAGTTTCATTATCCTCATTTTCATAAAATATACTAGCGATATTATTATTAAAATTATTATTATTATTATTATTATTATTATTATTATTATTATTATTACTATTTTCAATATCATTATTATTATTTTCATTATTTTGGAAACTTTATATTTATTGAATATTATTGTTTTCACTAGATTGATTATTTGAATTTTCCTACTTTTTTTGTATATAATTTTATTTAAATATTAAACATATATATATTAAGTTAGTTTTACTTATTACAAATTCTAAAATTATTATCTATTATTTTATTAAAATATATTTTCTTATTAAATAATTTATTATTAAATAATATTTTCTTATTAATTATATTAGTTTATTCTTTATTAATTATTTAATACTTAAATATTATTATTAATAGAATCTATATATCTATTATAATAATTATTTATTTATTCAATACTTTCTTCACTTTAACTTTAATATTCTTCATTTTCATCGTTTTCTATTTCTTAATCTTAACTATATTCACTATTTTAATTATTATCTTAATCCAACCTTTCTTAATCCTCATCCCCACTATCACCATCATTCAAATCATTTTATGGCAGCATTAATTAATGAAAAAATATATGCACAAGTCTCTCCGGTCCAATTTATTAATGTAATTATGGTGGAACTAAATCAAATTCATTATTATGCTCTTAATCCACATTTTAAAAGATGAAAACTTCATGTAAAAAATCAAAAAAAGTTGGAATATTACTTAGTGAATTTCTAAAAAGATCAAAAGACTAAAATTTAATAAATTTCATTTTTTAAAAATCATATAAAGCAATACAATCTGCATATTAGTATTTAGCAAACGGAATAATACAATATTAAGAATTCAACTAAATAATTTTATAAATTCTGTTTATTTTTTTCTTTTATAATTCCGTATTTGGGAACTATTTTTTTTTATTATTTATTAAATCACATACTGATAAAAAGGGTTTACTTCTAATACTTTTTTCCTTTATTTTATTCTTTATTTATTCATTATATGCTAAATAAGCATTAGCATATTTCATCATTTTTTCCTATGTAAATCCTTTCACTAAATTAAAAAATATCTTCTTCAATTCTTATTAATAATAATTATTTTTTATTGTATATTTGGTCTTTATTCTTTATTAAAATTCCTTAAACGTATTATTTCCATTTACATTAGGTGGCTTTAATAATTGAAGGATTTCTTATAAATCACACTCGAAATCAAAGCTTTTAGTTTAGTATTTGTCCTATATATATGTAAATAATTATTCTTTAAAACATTCAATGTGTAAAAATGTATGAGTTTTGTGTAATCTTTGAATACATATTCTACAGATATATTTACTATTAAATATACAATATTAGTTAAAGCATATATATTCTATTTGACGTTTATGTATATTACATTGGTTAGGATTTTCGTTTATTAAAAAATCAAAAATATGATGTTATTTAATATTATTTAATCTTTATTCTAATATGTTTAGATTAGAATATTAATTTTAGTTTGTATTTCCCATTTATTTATTTTTTTATAAATATATGTATATTTTATTTTATTAATTCCTTTTTTTCCTTTTTTTTATTTTAATATATTATTAGTATTTTTTAAAAAATAAAAATAAAGAAAAAGTAGTTTGTATTCTATTTTTATATTGATTAATTATTTGTATAAAAATAAAAAAAAATTTCTATATATATATATTATTTTTTAATATATTTATATTATAATACATAATTTTAATATATTAGGTAGTTTTTAATCTATTTTAAATATACACTTCTATTGTATATATAATATAAAATTTTTAATTTTTAAAATATATAAGTTTTAAAATTTAAATTTCTCTTTAAAATTATATTTATTCTATAATTAATAAAATCTTTAAAAATAAATAAATTTCATAAAATAAAAAAATTAAAAATATTATTTTTCTATAAATTGTGTTATAAAATATATATTATATTTTAATAATTTTATTTTCATTATTAAAAAAATAAATTTGATATTAATTTTTTTAAAATAATATATATATATATATATATATATATATATATATATAAAAAAAACATTATATCTTATAATAAAATAAAAATATATATAAATAAATTTTTATTTTCAACTTAAAATATTGTTATTCTTTAAAAATCCTTCAACATATTTGCTGAAAAATGCAGCTAATTCTTCATTCTAACATTTACTAACTAAACTTAAAGTTTTTAAAATTTGATTGATTTCTATTTCTAAATAAACAATTTCATTAGACGGAATCTTTTTTAATTTTAACAAAATATAATATAACAAAAATATTAATTACATGTTTTGAATAAAAATAAAATTTCAAAGTATCATCTTATTCGCCTTAAGCAGCACTATAAATTCTATATAATTTAAACAAATCTTCGAAACTTTATTCTGTAATATAAGAGCTTTAATTCAATAATCTTGTAATAGTTGCGCTTAAAAAATATATTTTTTAAAAAATAATATAAATTTAATAAAAAACCCTTCATTTAGATTTTCCCAAGCATTTTCATATTCATCTGAATCGTAAATAAAGTTTAATACTAAATCATTAGTATTTATATCTTAAAGTCTTGGTATTCCAAAGTTATCATCTAAATCTAATAAATTTAAAGTATCTGATTATTATTATTATTATTATTATTATTATTATTATTATTATTATTATTATTATTATTAATGTTAATTAGGATATTATTATTAGTCAAATTAATCATTCTTTAATCATAATAAAAAAATATAAAAATATATGTAAATATATAAATTTTTATATTTTTATATATATATAAATATATAAATAAATATAAATTTATTTATATACTTATAAATATATTTACATATATATATATATATATATTTAATTTACTGATTCTATTAAATCTTCAATAATATGAGTAGGTCCAGCTTATTATTATTATTTTGAAGTTTCATAATCTGTCTAAACTTATAATTATTATTCTTACTTATCATCATTTTAAATTTATTCATCTATAAGTTCTTTATTTCTTTTATATGATATATATTTTTCATAATTTTATTTGATTTAATTATAAAAATAAAAATGTTACCTTTACAAATTAAAATAACTAAATGGTTTAACATATTTATCTTAAGGTTTTCTATAAATGATAGCTAAAGTATTAAATTCATTACAAACTTTTTAATTAGAATCTTCTTCTTCTTCTGAGAATTTCGAAATAGCCTTAGAATGTCTATTAATCATAATTTACTTAAACCCTTCTATATCATTTTACATAGCCCTATAAAAGAAAGCTGCTCTATCTTTTAAATCAATATCTTCATCTTTATTATTTAAAATGCTTTTAAATAAATATCCAAGTTAATTTTTCATTTCATCTGGACTTCTTAAGAACATTTTAATACAAGTAACTAAGTACTTTTTTAAAAAAAATTAAAAAAAATATAATAAAAAAAAAATACAGTTTATTTCACAAGAATAGATTCTTATTAATCTTCTGAAATTAAATTTTCAATAATATAAGAGGAATCAGGTATTTAATTAGAGAATTCGCCAAAAATCCATAAAAGGGCAGACTTTGAATTTGGTTCAGTAACATAATCTATACAATCAGGAATACAATCAGATATTTAATTAAATATATGTGGATATTTTCTCAATATATCTTAAAAAGCAACTAAAGTATTATTAGTAATATATTCTTTATGCATAGTTATAAAATTCGAAAGTTAATTAATAATAGGTGTTGCCATTTCTTATAATCTGCAAGCAATCTAACCTAATGTTTTAATTGATTCTTTCGCTAATTCATTATCTACATCAGTTACATATTCTCCTAATTCGTTCATTATATCTCCTATATTGCTTTCATTTGCTAAACTAGAAATTATATTTAATTTCAAATTTTTAATATAAGTAGGTTCATCTGCTTTACAATAAAATTATTTAAACTCTTCTTAAAAAAATTAAGCTCCTCCTCTATAAAAAAATTATATTATAAATAAAAAAAATATTATATATATATATATATATTAATATGTTTCTACCTTTAATTAATAACTTAAATATGTGAAAGAACAGTATATGCGATTTCGAAACTACTTGTAGTCTCTGTTGAAGCCATTAGTGTAATTAAAGGAGCTATATTATATAAATAGATAAAAATTAATATATTTATAATATATATAATAATAAATATATATATATATATATATATATAAATATATATATAAATAAAAAATATAAAAAAAAATTACATATATAAATGAATATATATTTAAATAAATTAATTTACTTTTCACTCTTTTAAGAATAGATTTATATACTGTAGGGTTATTAACTGTGAAATTCATAAAAATCTTAATAGTAGCTAAAACAACTGAGATACAAGATTATTTAAGTCTATCATCTAACAAATTCTATAAAATAATATAAACAAAAATTATTAATAAATAAATATATAAATATATATATATATATTTTATTTAAAATTATTAAAAAAAATTAAATAATATTAAAATAAATTATAAATGCATATATATAAATAAATATATATAATAAAAATACCATCATGTCATACATTTCATCATCATTTTTGGGTGTATATCTAGATAATAATTGTAAAACAATTACTTAACCCCAATTACTAAAATTTTTTAAATTATTTAATAAATGAATAATCATTTATCTATAAGTTTTAATTCCACCTTAATCTGCTAAAATCTCATTCAACGCACTTATAGCATTCTAAACAACCAAAGAATCTGGATCTTTCACCATTTTATATAAACTATCTATAATATCACTATTTTTAATAGTTTCTGGATTCATATAAAATACTTTTACACAACCCATAATAGCTGTTTTGCGTACATAAGGATCTAAATCTTATAGCCCATCCTATATAGAATTCATTAAATACTCAAAAGAACCTGAAAAGCGGAGAGAGCATAATGAACGTAAAGCTAATCCTCTTATTTTTCCATCTTTATGTTTAGTGTCTTTTATAAAAGTATTTATTGCCATAAGGGCTGTATTAGGATTTTATTCAGCATAATTAGTTAAATATAAATAAATCATTTTTTTATTTATTATATCATTTGTTTATGATACTATACACATTTAATCAAATAATTTAGATACGTCAATTCCTATAGATTTTTTAAAAAATATTTTAAATAAAATATTTTATTACCTAATGTCATGTATGCTATTACTTTTTTTATTAATTCACGTTTTTTTTTATCATCTTTTTCGAATACGTTTTTTTTAAAATGCTTATTATTATATTTTAATTTTTTTTATTTTTATTTATTTATTTATTACTCTTTTAATTCATCAACTTCTCCTCTTTTTACTTATTCAAAATATTAGGGATTTGTAGAAGACTTTTTAATAGATGAAGATGGAACAGAAGTAGAATTAGATGAATTTCTAATATTTGAATTGTATGAAGATTAAATATTATTATTTTAATAATGAACACCTTTCATTTATTTTTATATATTTTATTTAAAATTTTGTTTTATTAAAAATATAAATATATATAAATATATATATATATTTTAATAAATATATATATATATATATATATATATATTTATTATATCTTTTATTATTTAATACATTTTTTATAATGTGATTATAAATAATATTTAATTTTGATATATAAAAAAAGATAAGTAATAAATATATAATATTAAAATAAATATTTATATTATAATATAAAAATAATTTTTAAATATAAACTTTATATAAATATCAATAAATTAATTTATTTATTAAATATATAATATGTATTATATTATTTTAATAATTTGATCATATTTAATATATTTCGATATTTATTTATTTTATTAATATTTATCTAATTCAATAAAAAAAACTAATATGTTAATTAATTATATATATATATATATTAATATATTTTATATTTTTATATATTATTCAATATTATAATTTTTATATAAAATATATTAAATGTTAATTGTTTTAAATTTATATGTTTTTAAATTATTCTTAATAATTTTATTTTATTATTACTTATTTTTTAAAATTATACCAAAAAAATAATTAAATTTTTTAAATTTTTATTTCTTTCTTAAATTTACTAATTATCTTTTATTTATTTATAAAAAATTAATTATTTTTAGAATAGTTTTTTTATTTATACTAAATATATATATATATATATATATATATATATATATTTAAATAAAATTTTCTTAATATTTTTATTATTTAAAAAAATTAAATAAAAATATTATTTTACTATTAATAATAAAATAAAATTTTTATATTTATTTATATATATATAATTATATATTTATTTTTATTATATTATAATTTTTTTTAAATTAAATAGATAAATTATTACTCTTATTTACATAACCTATATTTTATATTTTTTTTTATTAGTTAAAGTTTACATTAAAATTTATATAATTTTATAATTCATATATTATGAATAAGCTAAAAATTTTAGATTTATTGTTAAATCTTTATTAATAGCCTAATTCTATTTTTTTACATTATAAATTCTATAAAAATATAATTTTTATATTTTTTATCTTTAATTTTAACTATATTTTAATAATTCATTTATATAGAATTATAATATGTGAAATTTTTTTATTTTATTAGAAAATAAAATTTTTGTTTTTACTTATTAAGTTAAATAAAAAAATATTTATAACTTTTATGTTATATATTAAATATCAGTTTATTTAAATATAAATATTTATGATATTTTTATATAAAAAAAATCTACAATTTATTATGAATAATTTTAATAATATAAAATAAAATTAATATATAAAAAAAAATTGATATTAACTTCATATAAAAAAATATAAATTTTATTGATAAATTTTTTAAATTCAATATATAAACAAATCCTAAAAATATTTAAATATACTAAAAAAGATTAATAATAATTTAATATAATTTTAAAAATATATTAATTTTTTAAAGATGATAAAATATATTATCATTTAAATAAATATATATATTTATTATAATAAAATTTTTATTTAAATAAAATAAATCTTATAAATATTTATCATTTTTTATATAAATAAAATTTAATAAAATAATACAAGTTTTTAATAAATCATATATATAAAATACTAAAATATGTTATTTTATTTTAAAAAATATATAATTATTAAAATATGGTTAAAATAATTTATTTCAAAAACAATAAATAATATTATTATAATTTAAATAACTTTTTTATTATAATATTAGATTTTTACTATCTATTATTTTTATATGTTTAATTTAATTATTATAAAATATATTTAACTAATAACAATATAAATTGTTTTATATTATTTATAAAAATATATTTTAAAGTTATAACAATTAAAAAAAATATATGTATATAAATATATTTGTTATTTATTATATTATAGTTATTAATATATAAGGATAAAATATATTAATATTATCTTCAATTTTTTTAATATTTAAGATTATTTTATTACAAATCTTAAATATTTAATACCTATATGTTATTTAATGATATATTTATGTCTGATTTAAATTAGTTATTTAAATAAAGTCTATTATTTAAATAACTTTATTATTATTATTATTATTATTATTATTATTATTATTATTATTATTATTATTATTATTAAAAAATCTTTTAATTTGTATTGTTTTGAAGATTTACATTCTATAATATACCTTCTAAAAGTTTTTGTAGAATATGTTATTATGACTTTTATTAAAAATATATATTTATTATTATTAGTTAATAATAATTTTAATTATAAATTGTTTACATCTTAATAATAATGAAATTTTTAATTTTATGTTTAATGCATTTATTAGGTAGCAATTTATTAAACAAAATTATCAACATTAATTTAACTTTATATTTTTTCATCTAACCATATTCTATTTTATAAAACTTAAATAATTTATAATATTTTTTTATTTAAAAAAAATTATTTACGATTTTCAAAATTATAATTTTCTAATTTATTTTCAAATTGAAAATTTTTTTATTTATCTTTTTATTAATTTATATTTTCTTAAATATTATTTGTTTATATTTTTTTATTTATTTAAAATATATTATTGTTATTGAGATTTGGATTATCTTCTTATTCTTATTCAACTTTTTCTTTAATCTATTCTTATTACATTTATTATGAATTTTCCGAATTTAATCTATCATAAGATTATTTTTCCCTTTTTTTCGTTAAATTACTAATTATTTAAAAATATAAAATAGAATATATACATTTCTGAATCTTATTATTTATCTTCATATTAAGCTTCATTTACTTTAGAATTTTCTTGTTTTTCTAATTCCTATTTAATATAAAATTATTTGACTCAAGTTTATAATATATAAATACATTTTTTTATTAAAATTGCTAAAATGTATCTAAAAATATGTTTAATAATCCAGACTTTTATACAAAAGTAAAATAAAAATAAAATAAAATAAATTATTATAATATCATATTATATTATATATTTATGATTACATAAGGATCTTTCTAACTTTTTTTTTTTTCTATTTGTTTTCTTTAAATTTTATAAAAATATTTAATTTTTTTTAAAAAAAAATATTGAAATAAATAAATACTTTCATTAATTTGCTTTTTTTTGTTTTTTGTCAATTTTTATTTTTAAAATTCATTTTAATTTTTAAGCTTTTTACTATTATTTTATTTACTAATATAATTTGTTTCACAATAATTTTCATCTGCAAATTTCTACATTTTAAAATTATTAATTAATAAAATAATAATAAAATAAAAAAATATTATATATATATAAAAAAAAGTCTATTTTTATATGTATTATATATGTATATTTCCAAAAAAAATATATATATATATTATTGTTTTTTTTTAATCTAACTGGTTTTTTTCTTATTTTCCTTATCTTATATCCACCTTTATTTGAATTTTCCTTATCATCTTTTGTATAAATAAAATAAATATTCTTTAATAAGTATTTTTTTTATTTATATTTTTAATAAATAAATTACCATTTTTTGATGATTATGTTTCTACCTGTTATTAGATATCTTAAAAGTTAGATAAATCATTATTTATAGAACATTTCTTATTACCTATATTATTTAAAAGCTGAAAATTGTTTTCTTTTTAAAATATTAGATATTCTTATTGGTCTTCTTTTACATTAATATTATCTAAAAAGTTTTTTTTATTATTTAAGTCTTTCTACTTAGTTTTTTCTTTTTATTTATAGTTTAAATTTCTTTGACCTTTAATTTACTTTTAGCTAGAACTGTCTATGAATTACTATTTTAATATAATTTATTAAGAGAATATATCGAAACAAACATATATATTATATATTTCTTTTTTTTTTACATTTTATGAATATAAGGAATTGGGTACTTTTTATCTTTTAATTTAACTTTGGCTACCTTTTTATAAATATTTAATTATTTAAAATTATTAATTGTGTCTAAAAATAGTTATATAATTTGTATTATTTATATTTTATTTTTTATACTTTTAATATGTTCTACATTTTCTGTATCTATCATTTTTTTTTTTTTTTTATTTTTAATTTTTTTATTTTTTTTTTTAATCTTTTAAATAATATAATATATTCGTATTTATAAAATGAATATAGTAAATTTTTATGTATTTTATTAATTTATAATTTTTTTTTCTATTTTCTGTTTTTTTAATTTAACTTTCAATGTTTAATTTTTAATAATACTTTTTATTATTTTATTATATATATATAATAAATACAAATTTAAGTGAAATATAAAAAAAAGTATATAAAAATAGTTTGATTTTCATTTTGATTATTATTTAATTTTGAATATAATTTAAGTTTTGATTTTCATTTTAATTATAATTTTTATATATATATATAAATTTATATAATATATATATATATATATATATATATATATATTTATTTAATATTTATATTATTATATATTATATATTACTATTTATATATAATTTTTTTATTTTTTAATAATAAATCTATTTAATTTTCTTAATTTTTTAAATAATTTATAAATTATTTAATTTTAATGCTAATTATATTATTTTTTAATATTATATTTCTATATTTTATTTATTATAATAATTATAACTAAATTAAATTTAATAAAATTAATTTTTTATTCTATTAAATATATAAATAAAAAAAAATATATGAATTATTAATTTAATATTAATAAAATTAATATATTATTTTTTAATTATTTTTTTTTTAACAATTATTATTTTATAAATCTTATTATTTTTTTTTATATATTTATTAATATATAATATTAAATCTTCTTAAATTATTTATATAAATTTTACTTTAATATTTTATAGTTATAATTTCATATATATTTTTCTCCTTTAATTAGTTTTTTATCATTCAAGTAATATCACATAATATCTATTACTGTTATTTATATATTTATATATAGTATTTAAAATTTCAATAGATATATATTTTTTAGATCTTTTTTGTTTAATTTTTTTTTTTTATCTAAATATAAATAATTCGATTTTTTTATGGTATAATATATTGTATATTTTTATCGATATTTATTTTTAAAAGAATAAATAAAAATAATCTGCTTTTAAATACAATCAGATTTTTTATACTATACCTTTCAGTTTTTATTTTATATTTAATTTTTTTTATTTTTCATATTATTAATTTAATAATATTAAATCTATCATTTTTTTTTTATAAAAAGAATGCATATTAATTTATATTTTTTAATAATTCACAATTCACAGTGAATACTTTTGGCGAATTTGAATTTATTTTATTAGCAATAAATATTTTAAGAAATATATCATATATACAATATACAATAAAATTTATAATATTAAGCGAATAATTTCTTAAATTAATAAGAAAAATAATATTCTGTTAAATGTAATAAATGAAAAAGAAAATATTGAATATATAGAATATATTTCCATTTTATATTAAAAAATGATTATTTACTAAAAATGTTAATATATTTTTTTATTTTTTTAAAATTTTAAATATAAAAACATTTTTTACAAGATAAAATATATATTATAAAAAATTAGATATATTGAAGAAATTTATAATAAAATAAGATTTTCAATAATAAAATAATTTTTATTAATTTATTTATTTTTAGCCTTTTAATATTTTTTAATTATATATTCTATTTGTCAACTCTTAAAAATCATTTAATCTCATAATCTATGCATATATCCTTGATTATCATTTTTATTATATATTTTATTATCCTTGTTTTTATTATACATTTATATTTTAATTATATTGTATTTTTTTTTTCAAAAAAAAGAATAAATTAAAATATCATTTTTTTGCTGTAATAAACAAATATTAATTTTTTTTAAAAAAATTTGTTTAATTTAATAATTTAGTATAAAACAAAATTTTATTTTTATAATAATTTATATATAAGATTTCTAATTTATTATGTTTAAGTAATAAAAAAAATTATCTATAAATATATAATTAATATTATAACATTAAAAAATAAATGATTTTAAATTAATAATAGACCATTTAAAAAAAATATTTAATTACATATTATAATATTTAAAATAACCAAAATAAATAAAAAAAATGAAATAAATAAAAATATAAAAATACAAAAATATAAATGTATAATAATATGTAAGAATTTATAAAAAAATAATATTTTATTTTATACATTAAAATATAATAATTTCTATTGACATTATTCTAAATCATATTTCTTTTTATAAAAGTTCCCTACAATATGGACATTTATTACTTTATTAAATCCACTATCCAATACACTTAATATGAAATTCATGATTACATTAAAGTTTTCTTACTTTTTGATTTTTTAGAATTTCTTCTAAGCAAATACAACAAACCGTTTATTCTTTACACTCTACAATTTACTTTTCTTCTTAAATTTTTAATTTTTATTACGCATCTATTTTTCTTTTTAACCTCAAAGCTTATGAAATTAACAATGGTTTCATGTTCTCATCTTCTAATTCGTAATTATAATATATATATAAAGCTTTTTAAATATATTAATATGCTTCTTATATCATATCTTGAGCTAAAAGAACATTAGAAATCGATACTAAACATGTTCCTTCCCTTGAATAATGTTTGTCTTAATTTTAGTATATTTTTAATGCATTGTTATAATAATTTAATGTTTAATTATAATCCTTTTATTTTTAAAATAATATAGCAGTTTTTTTATATGTCGAGGCTAAAAATAAAGAATTTTAACCAAATTTTTATTTCTAAAGTTAAATAGCTTCTTTATATAAAGAATATGATTCTTAAAATTTTTAGTTATCTTTATTTTCTTGAGCTTATTCAAGTAGATTTTTTATTTTTTCGTTTTCTGGGTTGTCTATTTAGACTTCACTTCCTTAATTTTGGATTAAAAAAATATTTTCGTTATATTATTATTATTCTTATAATTTTTTATTCATTTTTTTAAATTTTTATATTATATATTTATATTTTAATTTAATTTTTTTATATTTTTATTTTTATTTTGTTTCTTTAATAAAATATATATCAAATAAATGTAAATTAAATTTTTTTAAACTATTATTTACTCTCGTTATAATATATAAAAATATTAGTAATAAATCAAAAAGGTTAATTTAACTTAGTCTATTATAAAAAAATTTAAAAAAAAATATTTAAAAAAATAAAAGAATAAATAAATATTTATATTCTTATAAATATATATATTTTTTTCTTTATTAAATGAATTTAGAGTTACTATTTTTTTTTAATAAAATAAATAATATAATTTTCATTTTTATCTTTTATTTTAAAAATTTGATTTGTTACTAACGTAGTAACTAAATTAAATTATATATAATTATTTATTCAATATAATTATTTGCCCTATTTTTATATTTAATAAAACTATAAAATTAATGAAGATAAAATAAAAAAAAGTTAAATTATATAAAAAATAGAAAGCAACATAAAATTAAGTGATTAAATAAATAAAAAATAAGCAAATTATAAATACAAAAAAAAAAGATTATTAAAAATGTTATATTTTTTATATAAAAATAAAATGATTTTTTTAAAAATAAATATAAAGAAAAATATTAAAAAACTATTATATAAATACATATATATATATATATATATATACATATATTTATTTATTATAATTTCCTATAATATATAATTATATTTTTTAATAAAATTTATATTTTATATATTAATTATTATTTGTGTTAAGTTTTTTACTTTTTTTTTTTTTTTTTTTTTCAAAATAATAAAAAAAAATGAATTTTAAATTAAATATATAGAAAAATATATTATCATATAAAAATATTAAAAATAAAAAAATAAAACATAAAATGATTATTTAGATTATAATATTATATTTTAAAAAATATATAATATTTTAAAAAAATATAAATTCATATTAATTTTATAATTTTGATTTCAAAATAAATAAAAAATATTCTTTATATATATATATATATATAGATTTTTTAAATATTTTTTCATATATATTTATTAATATTTATCTTTTTTTTTTAATTACTTAATTTTATATAAAATATTAAGAAAAATTACTTTAATTTAAATTATTAAAAAACTAAAAAAATGTATAAAGAAGGTAAAATAATATAATAAATTTATATATATAACAATATACCATTTATAAAAAATAGATTAAATTAATCCCTTTTCCGAATAAACTAATTAAATTAATTTCTCTTATTAAAACTAATTCCAAAGAACTTTAAAAATGCAAAATGAATTCACTGAATAAAAAATGAATTTAAGCGATGGATAATTTGAAAAAGAAAACAATATAAATGTAAAAATAAATAAATTTAAATTAAGAAATATTTTTTAAAAAAAGAATAAATATTAGAATAATATGAAATTTAAATTAAATAATGCATTCATTGGTATATTTTTTTTATATAAAAAAAAAATGCATTAACTGAAAAAAAAAATATTTATATTAATTTAATACTATATAAAAAATAAAAAGAAATGCAATAAAAAAATCCATAAACAAGCAATATAAATATAAATGATTAAAATATTGAATTTTTAGATGATTTAAATTAGCTATAAGTACAATTTTAATAGGAATAAGAATAAGAGTAAACAAATATTAAAATTAATATTTTTTTTTTTAAAAAAAACAAAACAATTTATTCTAAGCAATTTAAAAAATACAAAAGAATTTATTTTATTTTTTTAAAAAAAACAAAAAATTAAAAAATAAATAAATAATAAAGGCCTAATTTAGAATAAATTCTTGATTAAATAGACCAAGAACATGATAGTGAAGACGAAGGAATTTAAGATTACAAAATAGGAGGATATCATCCAGTACATGTGGGAGAAGTTATAAATAAAAGATATGTAATAATCCAAAAAATAGGTTGGGGTCATTTTTCTACAGTATGGCTTGCCAAAGATTTTAAATACGAGACATATGTAGCTTTAAAGGTTTAAAAATGTGCTTCGAATTATTTAGAAGCGGCATTTGATGAAGTCGAAGTCCTTTAAAAAGTTGCAAAGCAATGCAAAAATCCTGAATGGATTAAAGATTTATAAAAATACCATGAAAATGTAAAACTAAAAATATATATTATTAAACTTAAAACTTATATATATGTGTAAATATAGGAGAATCGTAAATATTTTAATAAAGATGACTGCTAAATAGTATAATTGTTAAATAGTTTTGTTTTCAACGGACCTTATGGAAGCCCTTTTTGCTTCGTATTGAAATTTTAGGTGTTAATTTATTAGAAGTTATCAAAAGATATAATTATTCAGGGGTTCCAGTACATTTATGTAGAAAATAGCTAAATAATGTTTAATAGGACTTGATTTTATTGATAGATATTGTCAAGTTATACACACTGATTTGAAACCGGAAAATGTTCTCTTGTAGTTGACACAAGAAGACCTTAAAGATATTGTGGAAAATGGGTAAATTAGCAAAAATGAAGTAAGTGATTAAAGACTTTAGGTTATTAGGGGTTTATTGGGAATTAAAGAAAATAAATTAATAGATGAGGAAGAAGAAGAAAAAGAAAAAGAGAGAAAAAATGAAAAAAAGGAAGATATTATTAATGATGTTTAATAAAAATAAGAAAAGGAAAATATTAAAAAATTAAAAGAAAAACTCAAAGAAGGGAATTTGACGAAAAATCAAAAGAAAAACTTAAAAAAAAAAATAGGAAAAAAAAAAAAAAAAATAGGTTTTATTTCAGATGAAGAAAATTCGAATTAAGAAAATTAAAAAAACCACCAATTAAATAATTCATAATTGTTTAAAAAAACAGATGAATAAATCCTTAATAAAAACGCACTTTTAAGAGGACCCAAATTATAAGAAGATTTTAAATTAAAAATAGCTGATTTAGGTAATGCATGTTATACTTTTTATCATTTCTCGACTCAAATTTAAACTAGATAATATCGATCACCTGAAGTAATATATATATATATATATATATATATATATATATATATATATATATTTATGTATTAATATATATAAATATAGGTTTTAGTAGGAAATATGTATAATTAAACAGCTGATATATGGAGTTTAGCTTGTTTGCTTTTTGAATTATTGACAGGAGATTTCCTTTTTGAACCAAGAAAAGGTCCCAATTATTCTAAAAATGATGACCATTTAGCACAAATATAAGAACTTTGTAAAAAGTTCCCTAAAAATTATGCATTGAAAGGGACTAATTCAAAAGTAAATTTAAAAAAAATAAAAAAATATAAGTATAATTTAATAAAAAAATAAAAAGAAATATTTTGATTAAAATGGAAATTTAAAAAGAATACCTTAGCTACATTATTGGCCTTTACATTTAGTTTTAATTGAAAAGTAGCAAAAAAAGCATTAAATAATTATATAAATATATATAAAAATAGATATCATATAAAAGAAAAAGAAGCAAAAGAATTCGAAGATTTCATGATGTAAATGTTACATTGTGCCCCTGAAAAAAGAAAAACAGCCCAATAAATGTTAGATCATCCTTGGCTAAAAGGCAAAACTGACGAATATGAATATAAGATGAGTGAATAAGAATTTTCCGAATATATGAAATCTAAATAAATATAAAGTGATAAAGCAAAATTATTAGGTTAGGAGGAAGAAGACTAATACAATTTGGAAAAAAATTAATTTTCTAGTTCTGAAGATAATTTCGCTGATAATGAAAATGATGAAAATTATTGCACTTCAGATGATGATGATGAGTTTTATGATTATAAACCAAATGTAAATAGAAAACTTATTGATAGATCTTTTACTAATTTGGGATATATTGGATATGGGGATGGTATTAATTTAGAAGAATTAGATAATGCGGGAAATTGGTAGTTTGAAAATCGTAATTGATTATTTATTTTTGTTAAATTATTAAAATTAGTTTATATATGTTTTTTTATTATTTAATTATATAAATATTTCTGTATAATTATACTTATTAATTTTATATTTATATTATCTAATATTAGATTTTTTTTTTTTTTCGTGTGTTTAAAAATATAAAAAGTTTATTTTATAATTATATATTTAAAAAAAATATATATATATATATATATATTTAATTAATTTTTTTTTTTTAATTAAAAAATTTAAAAAAAAAAGATTAAAAAAAAAATGGAGAACCTGGGCATTGATCCCAGTGCCTATCGTATGCTAAACGATCGCTCTACCATTTGAGCTAGATCCCCATTTATATTATATAATTATTAAAATATAAATAAAAACTAAATGAATATAAACATAAAAAGGTTAATAACTTAAATAAATAAATTTAAATAAAAATCATATAAAATAATATAAAATTATATTTATAATAAATTATTAATAATAAATACAAATTTATTTTAAAATTAATTTATACTATATATATTAATATATATATATATTTTTTTTAAGTATTCATATTATTTTCATGTAATTTAATATTTAAAATTTTAAATATTTTTATTAAAATTTTTAATATATTATAATTTTTTTGAAAAAAAATAAATTAGGATATAATATTAATAGCATTTATAAAATAAAATATTTACTTTAGTTCTTATTATTATATATAAAACACTATAATAATAATTGTAAATAAATTATTATAAAATATTTAAATAAATAGGATATTTAAAATTATAACTAAATTAATTTTTAATATATTAAATTAATTAATTATTTTATCTATATATTAAAAAAAAATGAAAAATATACATTTTAATATTATTTTGTTAAATTAATAAAGTTAATAAATATTATAATATATAAAATATAATATATAAAATAAAATTATTTTTTACATATTTTATATCTTAATTAATTAATCTATTATATTAATCTATAAAAATTATATATTATTCTTTATCTTTTTCATTATAAAAAAATTAATTATTAATATTTTTAAAATTATTTTTTATTTAAAAAATATTAATATATTATTAACATTATTCAAAATATATTTAAACTTAAATTTCAAATAAATTTTTTAAATATACATTTATAAAAACTCGAAAATATAATCAAACAAAAAAATTATTAATATTATTTATAAAAACAATAGGAATACAATATAAAATGGATTTAAAAATTTAAAATTTTTTTAAATTATATTTTTAAAATATACTAGAAGTTATTGAGGATAAACCAAATTTTATAATTCCCAAAAATATATTTGCATGTACCCTTTTTTTATTCGCATTTTAAATAAGTGGTTACAACATATTTCTCTACTATTTCGAAACCCGTAAACGAGACATTATTTTTAACTTTCGCTCATATAAACGAAGTAGCTCCTGCAACTTTTTTATTATTATTAAAGGGTAACGATATATTGACCCTATCAGTATTCGGTCTAATATAGTTATTTATTTATTCATTTCTTACATATTTGACTTTTCTTGCTTATATAAAAAGCTATAAAAAGAAATACGTTCGAAAATACAAAAATACCTTTTATAGAATAAACTAAATGTGTAATACATTTTTTTCATTTTACTAATGGATATTCTTAACTCCATTCACAGAAATAAGTTTGGGTATAATTTCTTGTAACGAAAACGCTTTCTTATTATAATTCAGAGACAAGAATAATTGTGAAGAAAAAAGTATTATATTAAAAATATTTGGAGTAATAGGAATTATATTTTCTTATTTTATAAATTTTACAATTATCTATTTTTATAGAAGTTACGAATTTAATGATTAAAATTTATTAAAAAGGAAATTTTCCTATTTTTAAATTCCATTATAACTTTGTTATACGTGTATTCTTTTTTTTTACTATATTGCCCCAATAAAACCAATTTTTAAATATATTTTTAGCTAATATTATGGAATAACGTCTATTATTGATATTTTATTAAAATATCCATTTAGAAATGAAGCATTATCTAAATATTACATATTCTCAATTAGTTATTTTTATATAAGTTGTTCTGTTATTATGATTTGGGAATATTCTAGTATAATTAATGAGTATGATTTATTTTGTTTTATGGCTATAATAGGATCTATATTTTCTGGTTTATTAGTTAATATATAGAAGTATTAATATGAAAAAATTCTTAAAATTAATTAAAATAATTTTTAAAAGTAAATAACTATATTTTTATATTTAATAAAAATTGATATAAATAAATAAAAAAAAGTTATTATTAATTTTTTGATTTTTATTTAGAAGAAATTTATAGATTTTCCTGTTTATATTTTTAAGATACGAAATGTAAAATAAAATTACACGAGTTAATTATTTATCATAAAAGTTCATGTAATAATGTAAATTGCCCATGTAGGCAAATAAACAGTAAAAAAAATATAGAAAAATAATAAATAATATAGTTTATAGATGATTTATTCATATGGGGGTTAAAATAAAATATATTCTAAAAAAATTAAGTCGAATTAGAAAATTTGTAATTGAGATATATATCCTTTTTAGGGAATTGTAAGAATAATTTAATAAAATCATATTATGAATTAAAAAAATATTTATCAAAATAAAAGAAAATAAATTTCTATTTTAAAACTATTTCGAAAGTAATATCTAATCATATTGAATTTTAAATGAGATCTAATAACATTTAAAAAAATAATTTGAATATATAAAAATAATAAAACAAAGAAAATTAAGAAGAAATCAAAGTTTCTCATTTATTAAAAGCTGATAGTGCTAAATAGATATTTATTCCGAAATTTGTTAACTATTTATAAGAAAAATCCTAATATTGGCATAGTTTAAAATTAGGTTATAAAAATTTGGAAGATTTTTCAAAAAAAACAATATTTTTATCAAATTAAGGAATAAAATTGAAAAAATAATTTAATTAATTTGTAAATAAAAATAAGAAAAAAATGGATTTTTAAAAAAATGTTGTAATTTAAAAAGTATTTTTTATTAATTAAAAATAATATATATATGTATAATTATATATAAAAATATTCATATATGTATATAAATATATATTTATATATATATATATATATTTATATATATTTTTTATTTTTAAATTTTTATTTATTTTTACATATTTTTAATTTATAGCTTTTTTCAATATATTACTGCGTTATTTTAAATGAACTTTAAATTTCATAAACATACGATTTTTTTGTTTAAGAATTATTATCTCATGATGTTGGTAAACCTAAAAACGTTTTAACAAACGAATCCATAATAAACAATAACGTAGTTAATTTATAAGTTTCCCTTACAAATGATGAAGGAAAAATCTTAAAAAAATGTAATTAATTGTGTAATTTTTTTGGGTATAGTAAATAAGATTTTGAACTAGTAAGATAAATAAAAGATTTCATGCCTTACTATATTTAAAATAAACATAGTTTTTTAATATAAAATATGAATTTAAGGGGATACTCTAATATTATTAATAATTATCATGGTGTTTTTGCATTAGACAAGAATAAGTTTATATTTCCTATGAATATTTATTTGACTAATTTATATGAACAATATGATGATTTTGTTTTATGTGCTAGTTTTTTGAAAATTTAAAGTTAAAAAAAATACATTATTATTAATGAAAATGGATAAATTTAAGGTATATGTAAATTTGCTTATTAAAACTTATTCTAGTCTTTAAAAAATATTTAAAAATAGGAAAGTTTACCAGTAAAATTTTATTTATATATTAATTTAACAAAAAAATAGTAAGAATTTAAATAAAATGAATTTAATATTAAATAAATTTATTAATTTAATATTTACTTTTTAATACCTACTTTGTATAATATAATTTTGAAATATAAAGAAGGAAATTATACATAAGATTTAGAAAAAAACGAGTTAGTCTGTTTTGGAAAAATAGTTAATTTTAAAATTCCAAAAAAAATATAATAACTCCATTAAAAATACTTAGGCATTTAAGAACAATAATCAAACGGAAACAATTTAAGTTTTAATTTAAATTTATATTCAACTATATATAAAAGATTTATTGATTTCTATAATTAAAATTATTAAGTAAAATATATATTTTTATTTTTTAGAATTATAAATAAAGAATTGGAATAATGAAAAATGTTTAAATTAATTTAATTTGAAGATAAATGTAATATAATCCCAATTAAAATATATTAATGATAATTAACAAATAACTGAAAACTACTTTAATATAGAAATTATTGATTACTAAGAAGTTTAATAAGAATCATATAAATAATTATTATCAGAAGATTCATTTACTTTATCATAATTAAAAAGTACTAAAAAATCTCAATATTTTAACGGCTTAATGAAAAATTAATCATAATTAAATTAAATTCAATAACTTTAAAATTCTCCTGCTAAATAAATAATATCAAATATAAACATTGATAGCTTAGTATAAGTGGATAGCTTGAAATAAATAATAAGTTAAAATGAATAAAATTAACAATTAAACTAAATATTACTCTCTACAAGAAGTTTAAACAATGTGAATTCAGAAAGAGGTTTTATTTTATAAGTCGTTAATACAAATGAAAAGTAATAAAATATAAATAATTAAAATAATTTAGATGTTATTTAAAATATAATTAATATTGCTGACGATAATAATAAAAATATAATTGATAAAAAAGTTGATTCTGAATTAATAATAGATTCTGAAAAAAAGCTTTAAAAATAAAAATCTATTAAAAAAAAAAACCTACTTGGGATTTTAAAGGAAAACACTTTATCTGAAGATGATTAGGCTAATATATAATATATTAAAGATTCTATATTATATCATTCTAAAAAATAAAAAACCAAAATTCAAAAATACAAAAAAGAAAATTAATAAAAGGATTTTTAAAACTTAGATGCTTATTAATCTTCATTAACATCAACTTCTAGAAATAGATAAATCTAATAAAGTGAATAAATCAAATAAATTTTAAATTAAAAAAGTATTTCTTAATCATAATTTATATGCACTATTTATAGTAAATAATTATATAAATTAAACAAACAAAAAAATATTTAAAATTTAAAGTTTTCATTTTTATGTTTATTATTGCTGTAAATTTAATTTATTATTAAAAAGTGTATGAATATTTTGAAAATATAAAAATTTAAACGATAACAATATATTCTTAATCTTAAATAAATTAATATTTTTGCAATTAATTACATAAAGGAATCAATTTTTATAATTACAAAAATTAATATATTTTAAACACATAAGAAATAAATAATTATTTCGAAAACAATTTTATAAAATAATGTGGAGATAAAATGAATTAATACTAATAAATATACAAAAAATAATTTATACAAGTAATAGATTTAAAAAAATAAATACAAAAAGAAAAAATAGAAATAAATATTTACTAATTAAAGTAATTATAATATATATATATATATATATGTGTGTATATATATATATATATATAATATATATATATATATATTTATATTTATATTTATATTTATATTTATATTTATATTTATATCTAATATCTTAATTTTTTATTAAATAAGCTAAAAATTCACTTAATAAATTGATTTTATAACTCTTTAATTTATTAATTTTAATAATATTGATACTTAATGTTTTTTTTTAAAAAAATAACAAATACATACTTAAAGTTTTTACTATTTAGTATCTAATTACTTGTTAAACTAATAACTTAACTTAATGATAATTTAATAATTAGATTCTTAAATTTAATTAAATATTGAATACTTATTTTACTTATTTATTTATATTTCGATAACAATAATTGTTGCATTCAGTCTAGTTTTAGGATTTTCTATTCCTATAATAAGCAAAATAAACTTAAGAAAAGAAAAGATATTGCTATTATTATTAAGATGTACTGTTTAAGACATAGAATAAGAAATAAATAAAATTTAAAGTCTTTTGTAGGTTTTAAAAAGTGAAAATGATGTTTGGTTATAAACAATTTTCACTAATTTAATAATAAATAATAATTTTTTATAAATATAAGTTGATAATAAAGCAAAACAAGATAAAAATACAATACTTTCATCTTTAATAAGTAATTAAAAATTAAATATATGGAAATTAATTTTTAGGTTACTTTTAATATGGCTTATTTGTTTTTTATTTTTGTAATTAGAAATAATTATTACATATATAAATGGAGAAAAATTAAAAAATATGTTGATTTTTTACTCTTATTCATTAAATACATACTTTGCTTTCAACTAAATTATTATTTTTAGCCAATTTTTATCTTCTTATAAACCCTTTTTAATTTAAAATCCTTAATATCCATATATTAATATAGAAGAAACTAGAAAATAATTCAGTTAATAGATTGAATTTTGTCAAAAATATATAAATTAGTTTACTGATAAAATAAATGAGTAAGAACTTCTATAGTACTAATATAAAGATAAAATTGTGGAAATTTTTTAAGGAAACATATGTGATTCTTTTAAAGATAATATACAGTGTATTGGAAATAATTAGAATAGCATTTTTAAATAAGGAACAGTAGGAATTATAACTAAATACATATAAATATTTGACTAATAATTTAAAAAATTATTTTATAACGATATATAAAATGAGGATGAAATTTTAAATAATTATAATTAATATGTAAATAGTAAAGAATATTAGTATTATATATTATAAGCTTATGATCTTATTATGGATTCTTTTTGTTTTATTTTAGAATATATAAGAGATGGAATTATTTAAAGTGTAGATTTGTCTATTTTGATTTTGAAAATTTATTTTATTGTTTTTGGATCACTTGTTACTATATTTTTATTTTTCTAAAGCTTCTATATTTAAAAATAAATAAATTAATAAATTATTTATACTAATTTTGCATTAACATATATTCCTTTATAAAAAAGCTAAGAAGCAGCTACTTAACATATACTTAAATCAATATTGTAATTATGATTTTTTTTTTTTTTTTTTTCATATATATATTTAATTTTAAATTGTTATTTTTTTTTTTTTTTTTTTTGAATAAACAAAAAATAAATTAAATAAAATATTTAATATTTATAAATAAGAAAAAACGTGCAAATAATATTTTTATTATGCATACTATAAAAATAATAATAAATATAAGTATTAAATAAAATATATATCTCATATATATTAAATTAAAATATATATTATTATCAAAATTACTAAGGACTATTTTAAAATTAGTATGGCATATTCTATTACATTCCCATTTATAACTAACAAAAAATAATAATTATATAATGAAGAATAAAATTATTACTTAATTCATCATCATCAATTAATTAGGATTCATTTAATTAATAGAATTCATTTAATTAATATGACTCATTTGATTAATTGGACCCATTTAATTAATTGGGTTTATAGGGTTCATATTTTAAATCATCATCAATTACATTTGTATTTATTCTGGGCTCTAAGCACTAAGGAACTCCTTGTAAATTTTTTCCAATTGTTAAGCTTATTCTTATTTCTTTTCATTATTAGGGTCTTTTAAAAATTAAGATAACAAATTATATGCTTCATTATAGTTTCCTAATCTATTTAACTAATCTGCGTTTGTAAGAACACTTTCATTTGGGAAAAATTAATTGAGTTACATAATAAAACTATTTAAATTCATAAGAAACGAACTAACAATTTATTATTAAATATAGTTTAACTATTCAATTTATTATTGCTATTATTAATATGCTAACATATTCATATCTATTTAATTATTCATTTAAGGATATTATACATTTTAGTATGGGTTCTTATTTATATAATAAAAAATAAATTAATATTACTTTATCATTATTATTCTTTACTTTTACTCTTAATTCTTGTTTATTATGAGCGAAATTACATCTGCTCTCATATTTACAATTACATTCACCTTTTTTTCATTTTTTAAGTAAATATTATTTTAAAATATTATGTTTACCTGTTAATTCATTATAAGATCTACACATTATTGATTTATAATTAGATTATGCTATATTAACTGACTGTTAATATTAATTAGTTGGAATATTTATAAATGTCTTTTTCTTTTTTTTTTTTTTAAAAAAATGAATGTTACGGATTTATTTATTATAGATAATATATTACTTGATTTCCCATCTATAATTCATGTTCACCCTTTTTTATTTAAAAAAAAAAGATTTTTAAAATATTAATAAATAAATATAAATATATTTTTGAGTAATAATATATTATTACATGTGCAAAACAGCATTCATTTTTTTTAGGACATGTTCTGCCTTAAAAAAGCAAAATAAATTATTATTAAATTTTATTGTAAATAATAATTTATTTTACTTGCACTAAAATGTTTACAAAGTTAAGTTTTAAATTTACTTGTGTCAACAATTTATTATTGGTTTGGAATCATATATTTTGTGAGATTTTTTTATATAATAAATATTTCTATATATAATTTTTTTTTTTAATATAATTATTTATATATTTATATATAGTTTTGATAAATAATTATATAAATTTATTTTTTATCAATAAAATATATTATTTTAATATTTTATATTAATATCAAAGTTTAAATTTATTTTTTTAATTTTGTATATTAATTAAAAAAATTAAATTTTTTTTATCCTTAAAAAAAAAGATTTATATATTTATTCATGTATATATATATATTATAATATTTAAAATAAAAAAAAATATTTTCAAAAATTTATATATAAATAATGTAATGTATCATTACAACTATATACATTAAGAAATATATATATATATATTTTAAAATAATATATATATATATATATTTATTTATATATTTATATATATATATATATTATATAATTTAATAATATTTTTTTTTTTTTTTTTGTATAATTTTTATTCAATATATATTTTATATATATTTTATATCAAAAGATTTTTTTAACTTCCGATTTATCATATTATTCACTTAATTAAATAATATTTTACATATTATTATTTTTTTTTGTTCCTTATTAATAATAATAAAACAACATAGACTATCTAAATACAAAAATCATCAAAAAAAAATTACTCCATGTAACAATTTATAGTATTTTGAATGTTGTATACATATAAGGATTAAAAGATTTACATAATTAATCATTAAATTCGTCTAATAAAAATATTTATTTTTTTAATATTTTTTTTTTTTATAATAATTTACTTAAATTTTCTCCTATAAATAAGCAATTAATTTTATCTACAAATCCTTGAATATTATTTTCTTTATCTCCAATAAAAATATTAAACAAATCCTTACTATTATCTTTGATAGAAATAAATTATTTATAGTAATCATCTATAATTTTAACATATTCTTGTGCCGAATCTTTTATATTTTCTTAAATTTGTAATATACTTTATTGATTATTATTGTTTATTTCTAAAGGAATTTTCGTTGCTCTGTTTCTTACGAGTTAAAATTTATTTTATAAATCCTCATAAGCTCCTTATAGGTAATTTTATGTATTAGCTCTACATTAATTATATCTAGCTTATACTAAATTTCTAATATTATTCAACGTTAGGACCTTACTTAATATAACACAGTTTATTTATTACATTTAGTTTGCAAAATTTGCCTAGTCTATTTTATTATTGAATACTTTTTAAGCGCATTAACTTTCATCGATTACTAGAATGTCTTTGTTTGCCCCAAAACAAGCGTCGTTTTCTGGATTAAGGCTTATTAATTAATTAATTTCAAACAATTTTACATTTGCTTCTTATATATCAAAAAAATAAAATTCGTTTTATAAATCTTTATAGTCTAAGAATACTTTAATGTAATTATTATCAATCAAAAAACTATGTTAATAAAATATTTTTTAGAAAGTAGAGGTAAATGTATTCAATTATTGTATATTATAAGTTGTTTTAACATTATTAAGCTTTTATTAGACATTATTTACTTATTAAATTGTATCTTATAGACCAAATTCATTTAAAATATTTCCCTTTCCACCTAAACTTTTTACACAAAGTTACATATTTTCTTTTAATAGAGAAGGAATATCTTTATATCTATTTATTTCTTAATTATCCTAATAATAAAATAAAAATATATATATTATAATTATATATAAATTTATATATATTAATAAAAATATAAAAAATAATAATATATTTATAAAGACATATATTTAATTATTTATATTATTTATAAAAAAATACGTTTAATATAGATGTAGTTATTCCACATGTTTCCATTATACCAAAAGATGTTATATTTACAATTATACATAATATTAATCCAATAATATTAAATACAGCGATTAAAGACCAGTTTATATGAAGAACCTTTCTTATATTCCATGCATTGAAATTGTAGCTTATTAATGATATAATTAGACTTAAAAAAGCTAGCAAAATAAAAATTCCATATGAGCATAATATAGCTATTGTGAGATATTTAAAAGTTTAATCTGGCTATTTTTTTTTTTATTTATATATATATATATATTTATATTTTTATATATATTTACATATTCAGAATATTCATCAATTTATTTTATTATTTTATTTAATTTATTTTAAACATCTTATATCTTATTTTTTCCATTTTATATTTAAGTTTCTATATTTGTTTTTTATTTTTAATAATCAATAGCCTGTTTATGGCCATCTTACATCCTCTAAATAATCACATCAGCTGCTTTTCCCATAGTAGTTTTCATAACATTTAATAAAGTATTTTCCCTATTTGAAGGTCCATATTAATTATTTTTGAAATATAAAGAATCAAATTAATTGTATTTATTCCATCCTTATCTATTAAAATTAAGACTATCTATTTTATTATTAATACTTTATTTTTATTTTCAATGTTTTCAACATTTTAGGGATTAGTAATATCATTTATTTTTTAATTGAATGATCCTAATGAATTTTATATTGTTTATAGATCAGTAACAATATTATTAAGTCCCATATAATAAACAGTGAGTTTCTCATCATCTAAATATACAGATTACTTATAATTTAAATTATCTATCATACTTACTAGTTGACATTTTAAATTCTTTTTTTTTTTTTTTATTGTTTTTTTATTTAAATTACTTTATATTCATTATCTATTTAATTCGAAAATATAAATCCTGTAGCACTTGCACTTATAACTAATAAAGAATAAAATATTAAAAAAGCTAAATTGCAGCATATTTATCTATTTGTAACTGGATTTTTGTTAATATCTCTTTAACATTTTTTACAACATTCTTTTTTTTTATTTTTTAGTTTAAAAAAAATATATATGTTATATATATATATTAATATATATTTACATCCGTTACACATGCAATAAATACAATAATAAAATGATATTATTATAGTAAATATTAAAATAATAGCTGTAATACCTATAAATATTACTTTAGGAATAATTTTTTTATTGTCATCAATATTTTTATCTATTAATAATTAATCCATTATTGGTTTTCCAAATATCTTTTAATATTCATCTATTTATTTTTAGCCTTTATCTAATTAGTCTTGGTTTAATTTTTATGAAATATATGTATTATCTTCACAAATTTTCATTACTATTGCATTCTTATTATCAGCTTATATTTATAATTTTCTAAAATTAATTGTTTTTTAGTCTGATTATTATAGATTTATATAACGGTAAATTTAGACAATTAAAAATATTACAATACATATTAATATAAAAGTTTTTTTCATTTTTATTTATTTAATTAATTCTTTTTTATTTTGTAGTTTTTTTTTTTTTTAATAATTAATAAAATATTATTTTTTGTCAGTTAAATAAAAAAAAATTAAAAAATATATAAAATAATATATTTAATAATATATATGTATATATATTTATATATATATATATATAAATATATATAAATATATATTTATTTATATATTTATATTTATATATATAATTTATTTTCTTTTTTACAAATATAATAATTTTTTTTTTTTTATTTTCTTTTACCATAAAAATCACACAAAAATTAATATCTATTTTTATTGTTTTACATAATTTTTTTTTTTTTTTCTTTAAATATAATAATAGAAATGGATATAGATAATTTATTTTATAATATTAAAGAAATTAAAAATGACTAATACTTTTTAAAGACTTAATAAGAATATATTTAAAATAAATAAAATGATATTTTATAAAAATTAGATAATATAAATTTATTTTTAGAAAAAAAAAAAGATTTGTAAATAAAGTTAGAATCATTAGAAAAATAATTAGAAAATATTTAAAATTAGATTCAATATTTATTTCCTAATAATTTCTTAGATCATTTAATTTAAAAACATGAATATTAACCTTAAAATTATTATGAACATATTATGAATTATTATTTTTTTCTAAAGAGTAAATATATTATATATTTCGGATGGCATATATGGCATTGCTCAACGTGTATGAATTTTATAAAAACTAATTAATAGATAATAGGCAATATTATGAAATAGCAAAACAATATAAGAAATTAAATTTGTGATATTAATTAAAAATTATAATGAAATATATTTATAAATATTAAAAAAATTATAATAAGATAATAAAATAAACACATAATATTAAATAATATTAATTAATATTTCTTGTTATTAAATATAAATATAAAAATAATATAAAATAGAGTAAAAAAATAAGTTACCAATTAAATTATATAATAGTAAAAAAATATTTCTTGTAAATATATATAAAAGATAAATATTTTTTAATATAGCATATAAAAAATCTGATATAAAATTTATTTTATAATAGGATAAATTATTTTTTATTTTATAGTTATTATATTTACTTTTATATAAATAAATTAATTAATAATTATAAATAAATTATACTTATATAAAATGTTTTCTATTATTATATATTTATTTTAAATAATATATAAAGAATAGAAAAATATTTATTATTTTAAAATACAAATCAATATATTTTTTATAATATAATATTAAATTATTACAATAGTTTTAATATCAATAATATATGAATAGATATTTTCTTATAATAAAATAATAATATTTTTATTTTATTTATGTATTTATTATTATATTTCTTTAATATATAAATATTTATATTAATGTATATTTTTTATTTATATATATATCATTTATTTTTTTAATACAATCAGCATTTTTCTTTTATTACTTTTTATACTTTTTCTACCCAAATATTAGCAGGATGATCTAATTCCTTTAAATAAAAAAAATAATAATTATCGGGAAAAAATAAAATAAAAAATACTTTAAAAAAATATTTTTTTTTAGATCCATTAATTGTAAATCTAGTTTTTTCTGTTTATTCAATCGTCACAGATGAAGTAAGTAAAATTTCACCCTATTTTTTAAATTAAATCAATATATAAAATAAAAATAATACTTTTTTTATATTAGTATTAGGATCATAATAAATAAGTTTTGGAGGTTCCTCATACAAAATCAACTATCTAGGCTTATATATCATCCAAGCAACTTTTTTTAAAACTCTTCCTGTTAATATAGGCCTTTAAGATCCAGTAGGTAATTTTAAAGGACTTGCTAATTCTCCTTCATCCATAAAATCAGCATCATCTAATTCTAATTAAAGTGCAACTTCTCTTTTAGGAGCTTAAAGCTTTAGTAAATTTTCCCAATCAATATCATTAAAAAAAGGATGATTTTTTAATGCTTTAATTCCGTTTTTTGAACCTGGTTCTCCACCTCCTAATCTTTCGTTAGGATTTCTTCTTAATAATTTTTTTATTAAATCAGCAGCATCAGCTGGTACATTCTTTTTGTTTTTTTGTGTTTTTTTTAATTAAATAAATTAAAATATAAAATAATGTATATTATTACAGATGGTATGTTAAATTATACTTATTTAACTTTATTAAAAATTTTAAATTCATTCATATCATTGGGATCTACAAAAGGTGTATTACCAACTATCATTCTATAAAGAATACAACCAAAGGCCCATAAATCAGCTGATGCAGTACAAAATTCTCCTTCAAGTAATTCTGGTGAAACATATCTATAAATTTATATATATTTATATAAAATAAATATTTATTTATGAATAAATTCATTTATAAATATATATTCATTATTATATGTTATTTTTATAAATATTTTTATATATAAATATATTAATATATATTTATTTTAATATTAATATTTAAAAATAAATATATATAATATATTTATATATATATATATATTAATTATTACTCAGCTGTGCCTACAAATGTAGATGATCTATTTCTTTAGTTAAATTGGTCTTTATCTAATGGTTCTGTTTCTTCTGGAAATTTATTTTTAATAGCATTTATTTTATCATATAATTTTTCTGGAATATTTCTGTCAAAACCACAAGTACCAAAATCAATTATTTTTAAATGATTATCTTTTGTAAGCATTATATTTTCAGGCTAAGATATAATAAATTTATATGTATATATATAAATTTAAAAATTTTTATATTTATAATTTTATATAAATTTATATATATATATTTTTTATTAATTTTATTTTATATAATAAAAAACTTTTAAATCTCTATGTATAATTCCATTTTCATGTAATTTTTCTAATATATAAATTATTTCTGCAGCATAAAATTTTATTGTTTCGATTGTTAGGTATTTAAAATTTTGATTTAAATAACTTGAAAACTCTCCTCCTTCACAGTATTCAATTACGAAATATAAAAACTAACTATCTTAAAAACTTCCTAATAATTTTATTATTCCATCGAATTTCATAAATGATAAAACTTCTTTTTCTATAAATACTTAATATTATTTTCTTTCCTTTTTTTTTTTTAAGTATAAATAAGTAAATATCAATAGCTTTACTTTTGCTAAATAAGATTTTTCAAGTATTTTTATTGCACAATTTTCATTGTCTATTTTTTATTTGGCTAGAATAACTTCCCCATAGGCTCCTCTTCCTAAAACTCTTATAATTTCATAATCGTCCATAGATTATTTTTTTCCATCTATTTTTTATATTATTAAATATTAATACAAACAAATAGATTATTAAGCAAAAAAAAATGAATATTTTTTATTTTTAAAAAAAAATGGATTTAATATGAATATTATTTTATAAACAGATAAATAGTAATTTTAATGCTTTTTTTATTTAATATAATTTTACCCATTTTTTTAAATATTTTTAAATGCAAAAGTTAATTTCTATTATTTTTTGTTTTTTTTTTTATTTTTAGAAATTTATAATAAGTGTATATGTTAATAATTTTTATTTATAAATAAATTAATATTAGTTATTTATATTGAAAATTTGAATTAAATTATAACCTTTTATTTTTTATAAAAGGAAGCAAAACTACTAATATAATTATTAAAATTTGATATATATATATATTTTAAAAAACAAAAACTAAATATATTATTTAAAATTAAATTAATATTATATATTACAAAAAAATAAATAATAATTCATATTATTTAATACCATTAATTTATTGTATAAACAACATGTCTTCTAACTTTTCTTTTAGGGTGTTACAAAAGTTAATCTAGGCAATCAGTTGCTTATTTTTTATATCTTTTAACAATATGAAAATCAAACTTAATACATTCACCTAAACACTTAATAATTTCAATAAGACAATTAACTTATAACTTATTCTAATTATTTAATAACTTTAATAAACATTAAATTAAATCTTCTCCATTTCCTATCATAGATAAGTTTTCTTTTATTAATTTTGTTAATAATTTTATTGCATTTTCCTTTTTTTTAAATTTTTTTTTTTTTTAAAAAAAAAGAAAAGAATTAATTTACCAAACCATAAGAACTTTAAGATGAAGTTAAAATATCAACCAATATAGGCAAACAATATTATTTATTTTATAAAATAAGAGAAAAAGGAGCAATTAAAAATATCGATGTTAATATTTAATAACATTTATTAGTTAGATTTGTATTATTTGAGATGCTTTTTATTTATTGAAGTTTTAATTAAAAAGGCATAAAATAAAAAACGAAAATTCTCTATGTGTATGTTGGGGAATATTATAAATATTTTTTTTTATTTAATTAGTTTTATTTCATCAATATATTATAAAAAATTGAAGGTAAATCTATTTTTTATTATAATTCATCATTTATTAATTATTGTATTATTTCAAATGAATTTTAACTCATTTTTATCACCTTTTTTTAATGTTTTATTTTTTTATTTTATTTTTATTTTTACTGTTCCTCTTAATAATCTTATGTATAAAATAAATTAATTTTCAGAAATATTTGAATAGTTATAAATTTTTTATTAAATTATTTAGAAAAATTAATTACAATCATTTATATTTAAAAAGTCTTTTTTTAAAAAAAATGATTAAAACTATATGTTTTTGTTATATATATAAAAAGAATATTACTTTGCATATTATTTCCTATACAAATAGATAAAGAATGCAAAAATTAATAATTTTATTTTATTTATTCATTATCGAAAACTTGCTATAAGTATTTCTATACAAATATATTTAATTATTCATGAAAATTATTTTAACATATGAATAAGTTTTTGATATATTTTGTAAATAATTATAATTAATTAAAATTAAGATCTAATATAGTTTTTTATTTTTCTAAAAACAATTAATTGGTATTTTAATTATCATTTAATTAAAATACTATATTGCCTAATATTCTTTTAATTTTATTTTATATTTCTTTCGATTAAATATTTTATTAAATTAATTTATTGTATATCTATTCATCCTCTAAAATAAAATAATTTACATAATTTTTATTCAATTTAATAACTCTTTCAAGCATTTTATTTATTAAAGTTATATTTTCAATATTATCTAAATTATCAAAAATATAATACAAGCAATCTCTCCAACCAAAAGTATTTGATAAAATCATTGAATTAAATCCATTTATTACAATTTCTTACATATTATTTTATCCTAAAAATCCTATTAATTTATTTTCTAAGAACTATATTTTGGCTATATATATATACATATAAAAATTAAATTAAATTGATTATTTTTTTAAGAATACTTTCAGGTAGAAACTCATTTATTTTATAACAGTATTCAATCATGCATTTTTTAACTATTTATGTATATTCTTCATCATCTAATTCACTAATTCCTATATCTTCACATATTTCCATAAATTTTATATCCTTATCATTATTATTATTATTATTATTATTTAAAAAAAAAAAAATATAAATATTTTACATATTACAATTAAGGGTTTTCATATAAAACAAGTTTCATTAAAATTGCTAAACAAAGTACTTTTATTTATTCATTTTTATTAGTTTAACATTCTCCTATAAGAATGCCTTTTAATTTCTTTCATATTATTTTTTTTTGTTAAAAAAAATAAAAAATAAATAAATTGATTATATTTAATAAATTTCTTTTATTTTTTTTTACTAATTCATGTGTATTAGAAATAAGTACTTTTTCATAAAACTTCTTAAATTTTAATTATTATTAACTTTCAATAATAACAATAAGTAGCAACTCAAGCATTCTAATAGCAAATGCATCATTTTTTGGATTGTATTATTTAAGAAAATATTATATCATTAAATTTAACACAGCTTAGTTAAAAACTGAGTTTATATTAAGAATTTTAACTAATATTTTTTCAGCTAAAGCTGCATTAGGGTGCATTAATCCATCTTCGAAAAGCTCAAAGGCATGTAAAATAAAAGAATGTATAAAATTCCAGGATGAAAATTTAAATAAACACTCATCTTAATTACCTTCTAATAAAAATAGAAAAAATTATTTAATTGTAAGTACAAATTGATCTTAGAGTTCATTTTCTTCAATATCTCTAGAATTATTAAGGATATTCATACAAATAGTTTATATATAAGATATAGGTAAATAATGTATTTTATAATTCTTGAAAATCATTAAATATGTATTCAGAGATTCAATTTTAGCATCTATATATGTAGAATTAATTTTCTCGGAAAGCATTTCTATTGTTTTATTGAGAATATTTTTATTTATTAAACATTTATTTAAATCTTATGAAAGTTAATTTTAATTTATACCATATTATTTATCTTTTTCTTAATCATTTTCGAAATATATAGGATAATAACATTCTAGGTTTTCAAAAATGTTTTAAATAAAAGGTTATAGGTATTATTATGAGAAATTATCTAGTAGATATTTAATTAGTTTAAAGGTTTTTTTTATACATCTTGGGTCTTTTTCATCTTCGGTTATTTCGATTATTATTTTTATATAAAAAGAACCAAAAGATTAAGTAATTTGAAGAAAATCTTCTTACAAAAATTCAAGATTTTCGTAAATTTATAAACGAACGTCATATGAATATTAAGAAATTACAAAAGAGGAATCATTTAGAAAATCATAAAATTATTTAATGTATTTTGGGACATTTGTTTATCGTATATTTGTATTTTTTTTTTTTAATATATCGAAAAAAATGTTTAATATTTTATTTATATTTTTTATAATGGAAATATCTTTTTATTTTTAAATAAAAAATAAATACATACACTTGAATTACTCTTCATTTATGTTTTTGAGAGAATCTAAGTCTTTAAATAGTTCAAAAACTAAATTAGAGGCTTTTTCACGGATTTATTCCCGGCTATTTGTGAAATAAAAATGAAGAGATTCAAAAAAATCTAATATGTTTATTTCGTTATTGTCAAACATTTCAATTAATTTTTTTATTTGCAATTATTAAGTTTCTTTTTATTCACTTTCTATATATTGGATTATGTAAGTATCAATGTTTTTTTTTAAATCTTTTTTCATTTTTTTTAATTTTGGACTTTTAATTTTCTATACTTAGTTTAATTTTTGAAGTAATATTAATTTTATATTTTGTTATTAAATACAATTTTTTAATAGATATAATTCAATCATATCACATATATAAGCCAAAGGTTAAAAATATTTCTCATATTTTAAAAAAATAATATATAATTTTCTATATTTTATTTTTTCATAATATAAACGTTAAAAATAATTATATTTTTTAATTGATAAAAAAAAAATAAAGAAAGAAAATAAAACTAAAAAAAAAAAAATGGAAATAAATAATGAAAAATCAAATTTAAACATAACTTAAGTTTTCAATACAAAAAAAAAAACATAATAGAGAACATAATCAGCAATTATAACAAAATCTTAAAAAAATAAAATAAAAAATACAGATTAAGCATAAACAGTTTAATAATTAAAAGAAATACAAAATATTTAAACATAAAAATGTATAAAAAAAAAAAAAAAAAAAAAAATTTAAAAAAAAAAAAAAAAATAAGAATAAAATATAAATTAAAAATAACCTATATCAGCGTTATGTTGGTCTATACATAATGCATAAAATGGAAATATGTTATTTTCTAAAATGGGATAAGAAATAAGAGAAATGGCTTCCTTGACAAAAATGATGACATTATATGTATCATATTAACTAGCCTTATAATTTAAGATAAATATTGAATAAGAAAAAATATTAGTACCAAAATAAGCTACATTAATAGGAGGTACAAGTGCATGTTTATAAGAAAATGATTATTTATCAATAAAGGATTTATATTACGGATTAATGTTACCATCTGGAAATGATGCTGCAATAACTTTAGCTAATTATTTTGGTTATTTATTATTTAAAAAAAAAAATAATAAGAAATTATATGATATAGTAATAAATATATATATATATAATATATTATATATATATATATTTTATATATATTTATATATTAATATTTAAGTTTTATAAAATAATTTAATTTAAATTTTATAATATAGCAAGCTAATATTTATAAATTTGTTAAAATTATGAATAAATATGGTACTAAATTTTTATTAAAAGATACTTAATTTTCAAACGTACATGGTTTACCTTCTAAAAGTAATAGATCTTGTTGTTTTGACATGTCAAAAGTAGCTTATTTGTGTATTCGAATTCCTATTTTTAAAGTAATTTTTAATACGAAAAATTATGTTTGTGATATTTATGAAAGTTTTAAAAATTAGATTAGGACAATTTAATGGGTGAATACTAATAAATTATTATGGGAACTTAGTGGTGAATATTAAGGTTTAAAAACTGGTTTTACGGATAATGCAGGACATTGTTTATGCCTTTATTATGTTAATAAATAAGATATTTCAATTTAGTTAATTATTACTGTACTTTGTTCTAAAAATGCTTAAAAAAGATTCTATGATGCTGAAAATTTAGCTAAATGGGCTGTAGGGCAGATTAAATAATAAAATTAAAAAGTAAATTAGATAGGAAGGAATATTAGATCATCGAATACTTTAAATAATTCGTAATATTTGAAAAAAAATGGCTTAAGGGGTGAATAATCACTTTTTTTATATAATAATAATTATCATAAACCTGTAATTATATAAAAAAATATTAATGAAGATTAATTTAATAATGTTGGTTTATTAAAAAATTCATATAAATAGTAAATTAATTATTTAAAGAAAAATTAATAAATCATAAAAATTTAGAATTTTTCTAATAATATTAACGACTATTTTTCAAAAGAAAAAATGGAATAATTAAAAATAGAAAAAAGTTAAAAATAAATTAATAATTAAAATTATTAATCATAAGAATAAAAAAAAAATACTTCATAGGAAAATTTAAACAAATCATTTGAAAAAATATAATTTGATAAAAAGTTTTTTAAATAGAATAATAAATCTTAAAAATAAAATATAAATAATAATTTTTTTTAAATTAATATTAAAAAATATAAAAATATTGCTAATAAAATTAAAAATATATAATAATAATAATAATAATAATAATAATAATGATTATAATAATATTAATAATAACAACGATTAAAATAAAAATTTAAATAATTATTCTATTATTAAAAGTAGCTATTATTTCTTAGATAGTAATAATAATAATTATTAATCTAACAATACTAAGAATACTGTTGAAAGTTAAAAAATGAAATGTGTATTAAATAATTAAGGTAATTAAAAATTAAATTAAAATAAAATTAATACTTTAGTTAAATAATTAAAAGATAATTAAGAAAATTTGTTAGGGAAACAAGTTAAATAGTTTAAAATAGTATATAAAAAAAAACTTTCAAACAACACTATATTAATAAATAATATAGATCCTATAATAAAAAATTAAAATGCATAATAAAACATAAATAACGAATCATGATAATTTAAAATTAAAACAATTAATTAGTATAAAAATATACTATTTAATAACAATTAATATATTAATTTATGAATTTTTTTATTTTTAATTTTAATATATAATTTTATATTTAATTAAAAAAAATATATATATATATATTTTATATATTTTAAATTTATAAATTTTAAATATATATTTTATTAAAAAAAAAAAAATTATATATTATATTTTTAGTTCAAAGTTCGAATTCTATTTCATTATTTTACTTTCTTCCATATTAATTTTCGATTTCGTTTCCTTTTATTTCTTTACCACCTTTATATAAAAAATATTTTTTTGTTCCCTATTTAGAATATAAATACCTGGATTTGTAAATATTTTGTTGCTTTTCCTTATATTATAACTTTCATTTGGATATTTAAGCCTAGTTAAATGTGTATAATCATTCGCAAAAACTATAAAAAAAAAAGAATCAATTTTAATTTTATTAAATACTAATAAATGTTACCTTTGCTTCTACTTTTAATTATATTACTTCTATATAATTCAATTTTTTTGATTTCTGGAACCCACATTTTTTTTCCATAAATTGAATTTTTTTATGCAGATTATAATCTATGCATTATTTTCTTTTTTAAATATTTTTATTTACCATTAAAAAAATATTTTTTTTTTCCAAATATAAATTCATTTTTTTTTTTACATTATTTTAATTATGTAATTCCTTTTATTATCTACCCCTATAATAGTCAGCCATACTTTTTATATAATGATGTGATTCTAATAACTTTTATGAATTAAAAATTGAAGATTTTTTATCTATAAACATCATTTTATTTAATAACGCTTTGTTTTCTTATTGTATTTTTAGATTAGTTTCTATTTTATTTTATTTTTGGTTTTGAGAGAAATCATAAATTATGGAAATAAAATAAATATATATATACAAATTGTATATTTATTTGCCCATTTTGATAATGAATAGTGAGGAGACCAAGGTTTTCTATTATCTATACTAGGTTTAATATATGCTACATGTCTTAAATGCAATCTTTGTGCCTAATATTTTATGTTTTAAATACTTATTTATGCTTTTTTTTATATATAAATTACTTCGGTTATCCTACGTGTAGAACAGGGATCGTAAGATACACAATTTAAGGTATTCCACATTTTTAATTTTATAAATTTATTTTATTTGTATTTCAGTTTTTTTTTTTTATATATATAAATATATGGCTTTATTTGAATTTTTTTGTTTATAAATAAAACTTTTTACTTTTTATTTATTTTTATATATATAAATTTCGTATATATATAAAAAAAAATATATATTTAAATTTCTAAATATAAATTTTATTTAAAATTTTTAACTTTTTTTTTATTAAAATTATTCTTTTCCTTTTTTTTTAATTATAAATATCAAATATTTTAATTTTAAAAAAAAAAATTCATTTTCATTATATTTATTTATATATATATATAGATTAGGATTTTTAATTTTATAAAGTTTAAAAAATATTTTATTTTTTATTTCAATCAATTAATTCTTTTAATATTTTATTGTTTTTTAATTAATTTGCCTCATATAATGCTTTATATACTTCCGGTGATACTAAAAATTCTTCTTTTTTATCTGTATTTAAATAAATATCATCGGATTATAATTACGGAGGCCTAAATAAAAATAAAAAACATTAAAAAATACTAATATACACACTAATACCAAAAATTAGTTATATTTTCAAGATTTCCCGAAAATCTTTTTTCAATTTAATTTTTATTTACATGATTCCATAAATTTTTTAGTTCATTAGTTTTTTCAATAGAAACCTTTTCTATAGTATTTTCATCTAATAAAGGTTTTATCATAGCCCAAGGAATCGATATTAATCCAGCACAATTAACTACATATAATCTATGTAGTCTACTTTTATAATTATTCATTAAATATTAAATAATTTTTTTAAATGACTTTTTTTTTAATATTTTTTGTTTAAAAGAAAAAAATAATTACATTCATTGGCAAATTTGTAATTCCTAAATTATTTAAATCACATATTATTACCCAATTTTCTATTTATCCGGGTAAAAACATATTTTCCATTATAACATCTAAAAAATAAGTTATTGCTTTTAATATATCGGGAAAAGAGTTTTCTTTTCCGACCAATTTAAATACATTTAATATTATTATAGGTCTATATCTATGATCTTTTCCACTTAAATAAATAATTCCTTCTTACTTTTTTATTTTTTATTTTTATTGTGTTTATGTAATGTTTTTTTATTTTATATTTTTTGTTATTTATTTTATAAAGTTAATTTTTTTTTTTACTAAAAATGATTACATCTTTTAATCTACTTCTAAATTAAAATGAGAATTCATCCATTCATTATAAGCTATTATTGATTTGACTGTGTTTCCTTTTTCGTAATTATTTGCAGCTAGAAATCTTAGTTTCATTGAATCTGACCAAAAAGATGAGTTAAAGCAACAATCATGCTTTTTTTCTTCTAAATATTTTCCAAAAATCTATAATTTTTCGTACTCAAAATTTGTAAATTAAATCTGACCATCGAAAAAATATCTATTTACTTTATCTTTTTTTTCATGTTTATATTATTCATTTTCTAATGTTTATTTTAATATAAAAAATAATTTATTTCGTTTTTTAATACCGAGAGGAAAATATAAATATGATTCTTTTAATGGTTATATTTAAGGAAATATATAATGTTGACTGATTTTATTTAAATATTCCATATTTTGTAAATAAACAAAGTAAATATAAAAGAAATTATAAAATTTATGTTATATTTTTTTTAAAAATTCTTAAATAAAATTAAAAATAACTATTGAAAGAATAAAAAAATAAAAAATAATATGTCAAAATATAATTTAATAGGTAATATAATTATTGTAATTTTAAATATATAAATTTATAAATATAAATATATATATATATATATATATATTTATATAAATATTTATCTTTAAATATACTTATACATACATATTATTATACTTTTATACTTATATTATTTTTATTGTTTCTTAAAATCATATATATTTATTAAATTTTTTTTATATTTATTTTAATTATAATTAAAATTTTTATAACAAAAATTTAGTTAATATATTTAAATAATATTTATACATTTGATAAATAAAATCATCTATAATATATATATTATTTTATTTATCGAAAATTATTAAAATTTAAATTTATATAGTAATATAAATTTATTATTTTTTTTATTCAATTCTTTATTGATTTTTATTATAGTAAATAAAAAATTCTATAACATTAAAATTAAATTAAAAGTATTTATAATTAAAATTTTTATTTTACTTAATAAATTTTAATTCACATATAAAAAACTAAATTAATAATATAAATTTAAATAACAAGAATAACAAAAAAATTAATTATAATAACAAAAACTGTTATTTAACTATAAAATAATGAAATATTTTTATTTATAATATATTTGAATTAAATTATTATACAAATGTTAAAAAACATTACATTAAATAGAAAAATTTATTAATATATCAAAATAATAAAAATAATTTTAGGAAAAAATTAGGAAAAATTTATACATATAAAAACTATTTCAAATACATCAACATAAATAACAAAAAATGTATTTTTATTAATAAAATAAATATGAAACTTTAAATTAAACAATATGTAAAAGTAATATAAATAAATAAAAATTAATCTAATAATACTATTAGTCTATTAATTAAAATAATGATATGATTTTCAATAATATATAAGAAATAAAATATAAAAATAGTTTTATTTTCTGATATATTGATTAAAATAATTTTTTTATATAATTGATTATTAAAATTCAATACAAAATAATAAAAAACAAATTTTTAACGTATAAGAATATTGAAAAGAATAATAAGAAAATTAAAATAATAATAATTATTATTTATTAAAAATAAAAAAATATATTAATAATAATGTATAAAAAAATTTATAGTCAATTAAAAAAGTTTTAATATAATTTAAAATTAATTAAATAAATTAAAAATAAATTTAAAATTTAAAATTTTAATATTTTATAATGTATTTTAAAATATTTATATTTTTTTAAATATAAAATAAATAATAAATGAATTATATATATAAAATATAAAAAAAAATAAAAAAAATGATTAAAAAGCAAAAAACATAAATATTTATATAAAATAAAATTATTAGTATAATAAATGAAAAATAAAAAAAGATATTAAATATATATTAAAAAACTAAAAAAAATTAAAAAAAATGATTTATTATAAATATATTTATATAAATGTAATAAATAATAAGTAATTACTTTAAAATAAAATAATATGAAAAAAAAAAATTAAAAAAAAAAGTATTTATTTAAATATTTTGTATATATTTTAGATTTAATAAAAAAAAAATATTATTTAAATTAAACTAATATTACTAAAAAAAATATAAAAATAAAAAAATATATATAAATTTAAAAAAATATATATTTATATTTATATTTATATTTATATTATTATAAATATTATTTTAAATATATATAAATTTAATTTATATTATACTATATGTGTATTAATATGTATTTAAAAATTAAAATAATTTTATTCAATTATAATTTTAATGTTTTTTAAAATTGAATAAAAATTATTTAATTTTTATATTATTATATAATTATATTATTATTTTTTTTAAAAAAAAAAAAAAATTATAATATATATATGTATATTAATATTTTATATATTTAATAATATATATATATAAATATATAAATATATATATATTTATAAATATATAAATAAATATCAAAATATATATGTTATTATAAATTTTTATACATTTTATAATTATATATATTTTTTTAAATGCCTATGATTATAAATGAATATAAATATTTATATATTTTATTTTAAAATATGAAAAAAAATATTAAAAATAAATATAAATAAAAATATAATATAAAAATATATATTATATATATATATATATATATATATATATATATTTTTATAATCATTTATAATTTTATATATTCATATATTTTTAATTATTATTTTTATTAAAAAATTATATTTAACTTTTTAAAATATTTATTTAAAAAAAATGGATATTTTTAAAAGTAAATGGAAAAAATATTCTTCATTATAAAAGTCTTAAAATTTATGGAACGAATTTAAAAAAGTTAGTAATTTAAAAGAAGATTCCGAAACATTAAATCGTTTTAAGAAATTTTTAGATCACGCATAAGAATAAATAAAAAATCAAAGTTAATCTAGTAATAGTCAAAATACAGAAGATTTAATAGGCGATTCATCAGAAGTATTGAATACAATTTTAAATTATATAGCTATATTTGAAAAATCAATAAATAATAAAAGCCATAATGTAAAAATGTTAAATGATATCGTTAATTAATCATTAGAGATTGCCGAATATATATTAAAAGATGATAAACATAGAAAATCTATTGAAAACTCACATGTTGCTTTGAATCATTTCTTAAACGTTGCTGACAAAGTAATGTATAAAATATTTTTTTTTTGTTTTTTTTGTTTTTATTACTTTATAAAAATGATAAATAAACATTTTTTTTTAATATAAAAAAAAAAATATATAATAATATAAATTTTTTTTTTTTACATATTTTAAAATATAAAATTTATATACATATTTATTATAATTTAAAAAAGCTCGATAATAGTCAAAGTAAGATAATATTAGTAAAATTCATAATCATGATAGCAGAAAATGTAGACTCTAAAGTAAATTTTGTATAAAATGAAGGTTTTAATAAATTAATGGTACTTCTAATGGATAAAGATGAGAAAGTATCTCGTATAATAAGCAGGGCTTTATTACATTTTTTATAAATCGATAATAGTGACGAATCAATGATTTTAGAATAAATGAAAGGTTAATTGGAAAAATAAGAAGATTATTAATCTATAAAGGCAAAAATAAAAAAATAGCTTAGGATTTTCGAAAATTTACTTTGAATGAGATTTAAAGGATTTTTTTATAAAATGATGAAAATAAAGAAAAATAATAAGAAAATAATTTACAAATGGAAAAAAATTAAAATTTATAATAATAAAACCATCAATAAAATTCCGAAATAATCACTAAAACAATACTAGATAATCCACCCGATTACGTGGACATTTTTGAAACGGATTTGAGAGTACTTATTACCTTATAAATGAGTAATGAAAGTGAAAATTAATAATAATATTAAAATAATGGAGAATTTGATATTTAAAGTAACTAATAAACTATTATGTATACTTAATAATAGAGTTATTCAAAACATTAACCATCTTAATAATAAATATCCTACTAAGAGGAAAAGATGAATTAATTAAGTATTTTAAAAAATGATGAGTAGTAATTTAGTTCTGTTAATAGTAATATTACTAATAGTGAATAATAAAGTGAGGAAAATGAAGATTTTTAGAAAGAGTTTAAAATTTTATAAGGAGGTTTTAAGGCTATTTTGTAAACATTAAATAATACAAGCGAGAAAATTTAAATTAATCTATTGTAAACTATCTATAAACTACTTTCTAGTGATGATTTGAAATATAAAGTCGAGTTTAAAAATTTGAACGGGTATGATTTATTATATGAGCTTTTTATGAAAAAGAGAAATTATTAGAGTGGGGAAAGTTTGGGGTTTGTGAATTAAATGTTCGAGTTTTTGGCAAGAATTATTATGAATGATAAAGAAAAGAAGTAAATAATGAACTTTGAAGCATTTAATTTATTAACTAGGATTATTTCTTAGGGAGAATAGTATGAAATTATAATTAAAGCAGTGGATACTTTGACTAATTTTTTTATGGCGAATTGGAAAAATCTTATTATTGCTAGAAGATTGAAAATTTCTTATCATTTAATTGTGTTTTTAGTCAGGATTTTCGAAAGTGATTAAGAATAAATTTTAATGGGGTAATATAATGGTTTTAAAGGTGTAAATAATAATGAGGGAAATGGAAAGCTTTTTGAATAATTATATGGGATTTATGGAGGATATAAGTTTATTTAATTTTAAAATGGAAATGGATTAATGGAAAAAATAAATATGAATTAATAATAGGAATTAATTAATAAATGTCATTAAATTTTTAAAATTTATTAAATAATTGAAGGTAATTTTTCGAATGAATTCGAATGTTTAATTTTAGAAATTATACTTAATAATATTTAATAAAAATATAATAAGTTTTCTACTTTTTTTTTTATGGATTTACTATTTAGTTTTTTGTAGTAAAAAATTAAAAGAAAATGTCATAAAATATTCACTTTTGATAATTATTTTTAATTACTTATTTAAACTTTAATGATTTTCTCAGAGATATTACTTAATAATATATTAGAAATTAATTAAATGTATATATATATATATAAAAATAAATATATATATTTATAATTTTAGTGAAAATGTATTAAATAAAGACGAATCAATATAATATTTATCAAAGTTATTTTTTTTAGCAGATTAATATTTAAGTTGTAATCATTTAAATCAAAAAGAGAATCAAGAAAAAATAAAAGAACTTGAAAAAGAAAATATTCTTATAAAACACATTATTTGTAGAAATTAATGCTAAGAAACATAAAATATTATAATGGAAAAATATTTAAATAAAGTTCAAGAAACTAAATAAATTATGAGATTAATTTAATTAAATAAAAACCAATAATAATAATAATATACAGAATTTAATTTATAAATAATAACAACTATGAAGGATATTTTAGTCAATAATAATATTAGAATGTAATAATTTTTATAAAGCGATGGACTATAAATGCTTACATATATAGTACATAAAATAATACAGAATCCTATATATGTAGAAAAAGCCTGTTCCTTGTTTTTAGATATTAATTTAAATACAAATAATACTAATAAAATATTATAGAATCCACTTTTTAAACTAAACGATCCTCTAATTCCTATTTTAGACAACAAAAGAATGTCTACAATAAATGGAATGTTTTATACTTTAATAAATACTCCTTTATAGGATTAACATTATGCTTTTTTTGAATATTTGACTAGGATTTTATTGCATTAAGAAAATTTAAAAATTATAAAAAATGAGAGTATTGGGTTTATGTTTTTTTTGGATTTACTAGTCAATTTTAAAGTCAAATCTTCCTAAAATAATCTCTATATTTAAGTTTTGTCCATTTTCGAAAGGTTTGTGTCTAAATTAAGTAATGAAGAAATAGAATTAATGCTTGATTTACTTTTAAATAATGATAATTTAAAAAAACTTAATTAAAATAATGATACTTCTTATATTATTGATGTCTTTTCTATACTTTCTATTCATATACTTTTAAATACTAACCCTAATCTTATCGAGAAAATCTTTAGTTCTTAGTATATTCTTAATCTTTTTAATTTTCTTGATTGTAAATGTCATTCTGTTAGAGAATTATTTCTTAAAGTAAATATATATATATAAAAAATTTTAATATACATATATATTTATTTTATTTTTGTTATAAAAAAAAGGTAATTTTAGCTTGTTTAGCTACATATTCAAAATAAAAAAAGAAAGATAATTATGGAAAAAAATTAAACTTTTATAATTTTTTAAATAAAAAATTAACTTAAAATAAAATAACATAAAATATGTGCTAAACTATGTTCGAATTTGCATTTTGGGATTGTAATAATCCTAATATATTATACCCTCATAATACTTCTGTAGTTTCCACATTACTAAATAGAAGCGAATAAGCTGATTTAATAATGAATTTGTCGAAATCTTATATTGACTAATCAAGAAATAATAGCAGAATTATTTAAAATTTAGATATATTAGAAATATTCTTTAAGATAGTGTAAGATCTTGAAAATATGGAAGAAAAAGAAAAGACAGCAAATATTTTTAGATGCGAAATGTTAAAAATTTTCGAAGCATATTTAGACGAGAAATAAAATATTAATTTAATGTTAGAAAACGCAAATTTTTTACATTGGTTTTATTTATTAAAAGGAAAAGAAGAAATTGAAAAAGAACAAATAATGCATATTATATAGAAAATTATAAACGAGGATTTTTCAAAAAAACAATGTAAAATATTAGATTAATTTAAAAAATTTATGTTTGATGATAATAATGAGTTTTTATTTTAAATTCTAAAATAATTTTTCCAAAAGTTAATATAAAATCCAACTTTAAAAGAAAATTTTAATAATTAATATTAATAATATTTTTTAAAGAATTTCACTCTATTAGTATAAAATCTAGACGAATTAATTGGTGTTAATATTCAGTTAAAAATTCTAGCTTTATAATGTATAAATAAACTTGCCAGTAAAAATTCCGGATAAATAAGACTTATAATGAAAAATTTGTCACTATTTGACATTAGAGATGTCTTAGTAATTACTATACTCTAATATGATATTTAAACTGATATTTTAGTTAATTTATTAGAAGGAATTAGCTTCGAAACAGTTGCAAATCATTAACTTTTTGCAGAAAAACATACTTTGGCTAGTATTGTCAAATTCTTTTTGGAAAGTAAGGAAAATTTTGCACTTTAAATGATGATTATTAAAATCCTAAAACATGATGTGGCCATTAATGAGGAGAATTAAAAGTATGTTACAAAATTATTTGATAATAATAAAATTACTTAGTTTTTTTACCCGTAATAGAAAAAAAAAGCCAATTAGTCATCTTTTGCAAAATGCTTACATTCGAATTAATATAACTAATAAAATAGTAGTTCGAATAATGAAGATGAGGAGGGTAATAATGATGATTCTAATGAAGAAAGTGATGAAGAAGAATAAAAAAAGAATAAAAATAAGAATAATTAAGGTGTTAATAGGAAATAAGGAGTATCTTTTGAAGAGTTTTTAAATGAGTTTTACTCTAATACTTGGATAGATGATAGAAAATAGATTCTTTTGAGAATTAATATATGCTTAGTACCAGTTAAGATTGAAAATTAAAATTATGAAAATAAAATTAATGGCAAAATTTAAAGTAGGAAATAGAAATTAATTTAATAGTTTTAATAAGAATAGGCTTTGGTTTAAAAAAAAAACACTGAATAAGAACTTGATTCGAATACTAAATTAATTAAAGCGGCGGAAAAAAATAGGAACTTTTAAAATAAAATAAATGAAGGTATTGAAAAAAAACTTAGTGAAGGAGAAATTTCTTTCCTTAATATTCATTTAGGGGATTGTTCATAAAATAATACTTTGTGAATTTTTTTATTAGTATAAGTTTCTTTTTTTTTTTTTTTTTTTTTTTCTTATAAATATTATTATTTTTTATTAATTTATATATATAAATTTACAATTATAAAATTATTTTATGTTTCATTTGGATTAATATTTTTATATTTATATTAAATATATTATTTTTATATTTATTTAAAATTACTTACTGCATTATTTATTAAAATATAAATTAATAGGATTAATAATAATTTCTTTTTAAATAATATAAAAATTACAAATATTAATAATGTCTTATTATGTTTCTTAATTATAAATAGATTTAAAAGAAGCTTCCTTATAAAGAAATGTAAAACTCTTTGGGAGAATGGTATATATACTTATAATTAAAAATAAAAAATTATATATTAAAATCAAAAGAGTCCTTATGTTTTAGTAAAGTATAATAATTAAGTGGTTTTTAAAAGCTAAGTAGATTATAAAGGAGGAAAAACTCCTAAATGGGATGAAAGCTTTGAATTATAAAAAGATAAAATCCAATTAATTGAATTTGAAATATGGCATTAAAGGAGATTTAAAATTCTTTAAAATAAATTAGTATGCTCAGGAATATTAGATTTAAATAAAAAAGAATTTTCTACATAATATAAAAATGGTATTTTAAATAAATAAAAATTAATATATTTTATATTATAAAAAGAAATTGTGACATTACAAAATAAAAATTAATAGGCGGGAATTTTAATTTTAAACTTTTTTTTTGTACCAACATAAATAGTTGATCTGTAAGGAAAAATTTTAAATATAGCCGAATTTCCTTAAAGTTATAAATTAAAAATTAGTTAAGTTTAATTTAAAGCTTCTTAAAAAATAAACATATAAAATAAAGTTTTTTTTATTTTATTTAAAGATAATATAAAATTTTAAATTACATTTTATTTTTAAATTATAGTAATATTTTTATTAAATTTAATGCGGATAAGAAATATACACATAATTCTAAAATAAAAATTAAAAATAAAATCAAGATTATAATATAGTAATATAGAAAAAAGTTATTAAAAATAATTGTTAAGTTGATCGACTATAAAAAAAAAGAATTATTGCACAATGTTAAGTTCCAGAAATTGAATCAAAATAACAAAGTTATTATGATATGTAAATTCCATTAGTTTTAAAAGAAAATATAGTAGGGACAATTTAAATATATTAAGAATAATTAGATAGTTAATAAAAATAATAATAATAATAATAATAATAATAATAATAATAATAATAATAATAATTTATTCCGCATAGCACTTTATATGATTTTAGTTAAAATCTTTATACAGATTATAAATAAAATAAAATATAATCTTATAGTTGTTAAGATATAAAAATGAATTTTTAATCTAGTTAAAGTGATATAAAATTATTAAAATAATGATAAATTTACAATTATATTTATTATTTTTATTATTTATCTAATATATTTTTTTTATTATAATTTTTATAAAATTTCTATTATAAAAATGTTATTAATATTTATTTATATTAAAAATAACTATTAATATAAATATTTAATTAATTTTTATTTTTCATTATGATTTTACATTTTATGAGTTATCTTCACTTAACTTTTGGTCTTTATTTTATTCATTTATACTATCTATTTGCAAATTTTCATCATTTTAATTTTATAAAATTTTATAAACGATTTCTTAATTTTTAAGGTTTTTTTTACTTCGATTTATTAAATAACTATAAAAATTAAATTAATAATGATATAAATATACAATATCCACAAATAAACATCTATAAACCTATTTAAACTTCCACATTTTTCCTAAAATTTTAAATATACTATAGTTAAGATTATTGTAAAAATTAAAGTAAATCCAAGAAAAATATACTTAATAATTTCATAAAAAAAAGTTAAAGGTGTCTAAAATTTAATACATTCGTAATATTTAGAAAGATATGCTACTAACATATAATTTAAATGCCCATAAAGTTAAGCCAAATAAATAAATCCATTTACCTATGTCCATATTCTTAAATAAAAGCATTCTTATATATCTTCTCCATATAAACTAGGTGTATAAGAAAACAAAATAAATAGAAAGGCACTAATACCTGAAAATAAAATCAAAATAAATTAAATTAAAGAAAAAGTTGTAGGCTTTTCCTCACATTTTATTAAACTATAACCTTCTGTATAATTATAATAAAACTATTTTGTGCTATTTCTCATTTATTCATTTTAGTCAAAATTAATTGGTTAAGGATTTTAATATTATGATATTTATTCATATTCATATTCTTTATTTTAATATGTTATATTATATGTATGTCTTTATGGAATTATTAATTAATTTTTTTCTTCTTGAGGACTATATTATGTATTTAGGCCTAATGAGTATTTTTATTATTATTACATTAATTTATTTTAAGTTTTTTTTTTTCTTATTTTTAAAAAATTAATTTTTATTTTGTAAAATTTTTAAAAATCTTTAATTTTATTTTATTATTCATTGTTTTTATATATTTATTATTCGTTTTTTAAATTCTTTTTCCTATAATTTTATTATATTTTAAAGAACACATATTTACTCTATATAAAACGCAAATTAATAAATTATACTTTTTGTTTGTTTGCAATAATGTGTTTAATTAATAAATACTAAAGCTTGTAAATTTTCTTTTGAATTCTTTTTTTGATTAGTTTTATATAATTATATATTATTAAATAATTAAGGAAAAAATCAAGTTTAGTGTATAAATGTTAATAGGCAAATATATAATGTAAGAATAAATGACTTTATAATTATTTTATAAATTTTATATAAATAGTTTTTTTTTTTTTTTTTTAAATAAAATAAAAAAAACAATAATATTTTTTTATAATAAAATAAAATATATAAGCTTGTTTCTATTACAATTTTTAATTATATATAGTATATTATATTTCTATAAAATCAAAAAATAAATATATATTATTAAAAAGGAAAAAAATATAAATTTATAAGATATATATTTATTAAAAAATAAAATAAAATAATTATATATTTAATTATATAAATTAAAGATAATAATTATAATTAACATGATATAGAATTAATAAAATATATTTATTATATTTGTAATATTTACTATATGTATGTTTTATAAAGATAATGCAATATGAATAGTAATTAAATTAATATTTTATTTTAAATTTCTTTGAAAATATAGTACTTTTTATTAAATAGATATAAATATATAAATATGAACTTTTATTTTTCACATAAACAAGTTATATTTAATATATTTAATTAAAAAATAAAAATATGTAATAAAATCTTTTAAATATCTGTATTATTCATTTTTATCTGGCAAAGGAAGAACAGAGACTAGTATTTGTTGCTTTTTATTATATAATAGTAGATTTATAAATAAATAATTTTATTATGAAAAATCGGAAGTCTTTTTTTTTAAAAGAAAAAAGAGTGTATATTTATTAAAAGATTATTAAAATAAAATAAAAAGCTTATATTTATTAAAAGAAATAAAATATTTATTTTTAAAAAATATTATGCATAAAATAATAAATATATTATAAATACAAAAAAAAAGTAAATAAATAAAATTATATGTATTGAAATTATATTATTTTAAATTATTATAAATATACATATAATTAAAAAATAAAATAATTTTAATGAAATATTTTTATTTAAAAATAAAAAATTTAATTAAAAATAAAATTAATTACTTAAAAAAATTGATGTAAAATAAATATATATATATATATATAAAAAAGAAAACATAATATTTAAAAATAAATTATTATTATTTTATTTAAATTATTAATTCTCATAAAATCTAGTCTTATAATTATTCCTAAAATTATTCTATAACTTATATCTAGAAGTTATTTTATTATATTGATTATTATTATTATTATTATTATTATTATTATTATTATTTTTATTATTATTATTAATATTCTTTTTTAATTTCACCTTTATTTTTTTTATTTTCACATTTTAAATTAATTTATTATATTTTTCCTTTTACACTTTTTATTTTTTTTTCCTTATTTTCTCCATCTTCAGTATTTTTATTTTCATTTGAATTCTCTTCAATAACAAGAGTAACAGGTCCATCTCCTTCAATATGGACATTCATATAATGTTGAAAATTTTCCTCCTTTTATTTTTTCTGGTTTATATATATTTTACATTTTTTTAATGAAATATTCATAAATATTTTTAGCTTCATCCGCCTTCATAGAATCATGAAAATCTGGTTTATTTCCTTTTAAAACTCCATAAAGAGTAAAATTAGAAACTATCAAAACTTCAAAATTATTGTCTAAAACACTACTTTTCCAGCCTCCTGCTTATCTTGATTCTTATTTTTATTCAATTTCCTCATTTTTTTATAGATTTATATTATTTTTATCTTATTAAGGCCAAAGTTTTAATTTTAAAACTTTTTCAGCCCATTTGTCTACATGTTTTAATGAATCACCTTTGTGTAATCCTAATAAAATGCATATTCCAGGACCGATTTAGGATATGAATTCGCCGTCTACTTTTACTCCTGCACTTAATACTCTTTATATAATTAATCTCATTTTTTTTAATTGTTTTTAAAATAAATTAATATTTATAAATTTTTTATTATACTGATATCTTTTTTAATATTTTATATTTTAAATTTTTTTTAAAAAAATAAAAATATGATTTTTATTATTTTATTGATTAAGATTACTTTATGTGCGTGGAATTTAATAAACACAAACATAGAAAATATTGGAAATTATATTTATAATCATTAAACAGCTGAATATATAGACACAAGTATCAATAAAGTATATATATATATATATAAATTATAATATATAAAAAGTAATTTTTTTAAAAAATAAAATAATTTCTTTTTAATTTAAAACAAATAAAGCAATTTCTTGTAATTTTTGGTGGATTTATAAATAATAATTAACAAAATCAAAATTTTTATTTTTTAGAATTAAATACAGGAATTTAAATACAATCCATTTTGTAAAATATCGATGTAAGTAATTTCGCATAATGTTCAATATTTAATGCTTAGAATTTAAAAATATATATACACGGAGGTTAAAATAATAATATATATTCCTAAGGCTTTACACAATACGAAATAATTTATAATTAAAGAAATAATTAATTTCGAATCAACTAAATCAATTTAGCTGAAAGTCCTATTAGAAGGGCCAATCATAAAATAATTTGTGATAAAGAAAATTAAAAAATATACCTATTTGGAGGAAAAAATACAAATTCATATTTAAATGATTTATGGGAGTATAATATATAAACTAATGTTTGGGTTTAAATAAAATATAATGTCTTTAATGAGGCACTAAGGAATATTGTTCTTTGGGATGGGCAACATTTTACATAGACTATTAAAGAGTATTCGAATATAAGACCAACTGATAATGTATAATATGTAGATTATGTATTTAATATAGGCTGTGGAGTAAAAAAAGATGATGTTCCTTAATGTAGAGCAAATAATTTATTTCTAATGAATAAAACGGGAGATGGAAAGGTTGTTTTTTATGTTTTGGGCGGTGAAAATACTTAAGATAACGGAGGTTTGAATATTTTTTAAGATTTGTGGTATTTTTATTATGATAAAAAAATTTGGGTAAAAAAAACTAATTTTGATATGACACCGTTTTCTAATTAAATTATGGGAGACGTATTATTTTTTATTTTATTTATATTTTCTTTATAACAAAAAATAAAAAAGTTTACTTTTGATAAAAGGTTTATTATTATTTATGGAGGATTTAGTAATAAAAATGAATATACTAATTAAATGTATGCAATAAGTTAAAATTCGTTGAAAATTTCGTAGATTAATCCAAATTTATAATATAAAAATATATGGCCATAAATTAGATATGGTTATTCATTTATTTCACTTTCGACAGGTTTTTATTTATTTGGAGGTTTAAAAAATCCTTTAAATAATGATAATTAAATAATAGATTAAAATAATGAATAAAGTAAATATAAAAAATTAAAAATTTAATTAATATACATATTAATAGTTTAATTGTGGGTTTTCGGAAATAAAGATTGTAGTGTAGATAATAATGATTTTATAAATGATTGCTATTATGGAAGAAGTTAATGTATAGATTCTTATTATGGAACCAATTGTGATAAGGTTATGTGTCCAGGGTCTATTTGCTTTTATGATGTAGATACTTTTGATTTTGCTTATTGCATTTTTTGTAATGGAAATGGTTTGATATATATATATATATTATTATATTATTTTTTTTTAAAAAAAAGGAGATTGTGTTAATGGTAAATGTGATTGTTATACAAAAGAAATCTTAGATTTTACTATTAAATATGTTTCTGAAGATTGCTCAATTGTTGATTGTTATTAAAATTGTAATAATTCTGGTATTTGTAATAGATATTATCCCGAAAGTTAATGTTTTTGTGATTAAAGTAAAAAAAAAGGTTTGGATTATTGTTAGTTTACTTTTTGTTTAAATGATTGTTCTAATAATGGTATTTTTATTTTAAATATATTTTATGCATTTTATTTTTTAGGTATTTGTGAAGAAGGTAAATGTAAATGTTTTGATAAATATAAAGGACCTGATTGTAGTATTTTAGAGTTTACTTTTATGGAAAATAGTGAAAATTTTATATTTGCTAATTTTAATTATTTATTATTACTTTTATTGTTTTGAATTTTATTTTATTTACATAAAATAAATAATATATAAAAATATTAATTTATTATTAAAAATGAGAAAATTATAGGTACAGTGATATATATTTTTATATAAATAATTATTAAATTAAAAATAGTATAGATTTTTAAAATATATATTTTAATATATTATGTCTATTCAAATTTATAAAATTAAAACATTATTATTTATTTAAAACTAAAATAAAATCATTTAAATAATAATAATTAATGTTCTATTTATACTAGACAATATAAAACTATTTAATAATGATAAATATATAAATTTAAATTATATTTAAAATATTAAATTTGAAAAATATTAAGAAAAAATAATCATATATATGATTTAGTTAATTTATCTTTTTCATCAAATACATATAGGAATTTTATCCCATAAAAATATTCAGAAAGTTTCTTTTATTGAAATAATTTTATATATAGTAAAAAATAAAGTAGAAAATTCTGTTATAAAAAGCTTTTTGAGCAATTTAAAAAACGAAGTAAATATATGTATCGAATATAACGCCCTATTTGTACAAAATTATTACTTTTTATTATTTGTGTTTTTTCTATAATTTTTTTTCTAAAAATTAATTCAAAAAAAAAAATACTTAATAGACAAGATAATTTAAATTAAAAAAAAAAAAAGATACTAATATATGAAAAAAGATAATGCATTATTAGTTACTATAAATATTAAATTAATAAGAAATATTTAAAATGATAATTAAAAATATGGTTTCGATGATAAATTTAAATTGTATTATAAGGAGAAATCAAGGAATATTATAATATGAAGATTGTTATATTTACTATTTAATATAATAGTAAAAAGAAAAAGTAGAAATTTTCTTTTAATATTTTTTTACTTTTTTTTTTTGGGGGGGGGGGGGGGTGGGAGTCTTTTAGAAATATTTATTTTCCTATTTTTTTATTCAAAATAGTAAATATTGAAAACAGTTTGTGAATTTCAAAATTATGAAAAGAAATTTTTTAAACTTTCCTTTATTTTAAAAAGTATTTCTCATTTATTTTATTTGTGATGATTATAAAAAAAAAACTAACTAACTTAATTTTATATATTATTAAAAATAAATAATAATTATATATTTTTCTGAACTTAAAGTTTAAATTTTAGATATTTTTTATTAATAAACACATATATTAATTTTTTTATTTTATTTTTTTTAAAAAGAAAAAATTAGGTATTTAATTTTTTATTTATATATTAAAAAAAAAAACCCTTAATTGTTAATATGAAACTTATTAAAATGGTTAAAATATTATTTATTGAATTAATTAACTTTTTTTATTTTAATTTTCAAACACATATTGGATTACTTTTTTAAAATAAATATTTAGGACTATTAAAATCATTAAACTAATTATTTAGAATATCTTCAATTAAATCCAAAATTTATGGATTATTTTATTCAAAAATAACATTTATTATTTCCCCAAAATTTTATTTTATATATGTTAATTCTTTTTCTAATATTTAAATTTAGTTTGTTTTATTATTTAATTGTTAAAATTTTATATCATTATCTTCTCTTAAAGTATAACATTCTAAATAAACATCATCTTTTTAGTTCTTTATATATAATGTATGTTTATATTATTTTTTAAAAATATTAATTTTATTTATATATATGTATATATATATATTTATGTAGATATATATAAATACAATTAATTAAAGATATTTTTCTTATAATTCCTTAATTTATTATTTTAATTAATTATTTTATTAAATAACATACTATTTTTTTTCCTCTTATTCTTTTTGTTTTGTCTCTAATTTCTCTAATTGTTTAGTTAATAATTATATTTATAAATTTAAATTATTGTTTTCTATTTATAAATCATTTATTTATTTGGAATTGTTTGTATTTTAAGTTTATTCTTTTTAATTTGATTTTTTTTATAATGTATTAAATTTGCATATTTTTTAATTTTATTTATTTACTTAATTCTATTTAATTATTTGCTTTTTCTAAATCTATTTATATAATTTATATATTAAATTATAATTCTTAAATTTATTATAAAAATTTTTATTTTTCGTTTTCATCTTAATCCTATAAATTTTACTATTATTTATTTATTTAATTTCTCAAAATATTAAAAAAATAGATTAATTTTTGTTTTTTTTTTATACATTTAAATTGCATTTTAATTATTAGTTTTCTATTTATAAAACTTTTATTATTTGATCTTTATTAGCTATTTATTTCTAAAGTTCTTATTATTCACATTATTAATATTTACACTCATTATTGTTAGTATAGTTATATAATTCATTTTCTAATAAATCAATATTGTATTTTTTTATCTTTATATTAATTAAAAAGTTTTTTAGAAAATAAATTATAAATACTTATTTATTTTTTAAATGATTTCCGATTTTTAATTATTTAAAGATTATACGAGCTTCGTTACTTTTCAATATTATAATATATTTAAAAATTGATTCATATTTTTAATTATATTGTACTATGGAGATTCATTTTTTATTGTGTGATTTAAAACAGTACTAAAGTTTTTTTACAAATTACTATTTATTATATTCTTATTGTTTCTTTATAATTCAGGTATATTTACTTTATTATTAATATTATTATTATTATTTTAGTTTTTTATTTTATCATTATATTATTAGTTTAGAATATGTTTATTGGTTAAATGGTTTCTTTTTTTGTTTAGAAAATAAATTAATATTTTTAAAAAATAAAAATAAGAATTTTACTTTATTAAAATTCATTTTATTATTATTCTTTTGTATATGTTTAAGTATTAAAAACATCATTTTATTTATATC